GTAGAAAAAGTAGTTTGTGAGGACCTCTGAAGTGGATGGATTCTGTTTTGTAATATTTGTAACAGGTCTTCATAAGCCTTCTTCTAATGTTTTATGAGCTTCACGAACTCAACGTCTCACAACCCTATGGGCCTTCACAGCCTAGTACAGGGATAACTTTACTTTTTACTTTTACTTTACTTAGTAAGCTTAGAAGTGGATGATGGTATTGTAACAGATTTGATCATTGCATTGCCAGGCAACAGCTCTGTAAACATGATCCAACACGCAATAATAGACGAGGCTGTGTTTTTTATGTTAGCCACACCACACCCAATGAATTCAGTCTGACATGTGACATGCGTTTTCTGTGCGGTCTGCGCCATGCAACGATAGAGGGGCTGTGTTTTCTGTGCAAGGTCCATGCCGGGAGGATATGAACGAATATGGGAATGGGAATTGCCTTGACTTCAGTTGTGAAGTTCTAAGAGAACATCAGTGTGGCCGGAAGAAGAATCAGAAGACTTAGTGTGTAACATTACATGTGCTGTAGTGCATAGATATTGGAAGTGTGTAATTTAGTGAGACTTTTATGGTTCCTGTGTTTTAAATCCAATGCCAGGAAACAGATATTGAAGACTAGTGGAAATAGACAGAGAGGATTAGCGTATAATGACTGTAAATTGTGTAAACCCGCAATAGTGTAATAATTAATTGCAGTTATGACTAGTGAAGATTCAGTGAACTGATTCACCGATCCAAACCCACATTTTAGTCACTAATACAAGTGACAGTATTACCTAGAGAGAAGTGTATCATGACTGTTTTATTTAATTTTTGTATTTTGAACAGAAAAGCCAGTTGTATTTTACATATATCAGGTTTCTGAGTAAAACTATTTTCAGTCATTGTGTGAGCATTTTTTGTCGCATAAGGGCAGGATGTTTTCATATCTGTTTTTTTTTGTGATTACAGCTGCAGATGTTGGGTTATGACATCAGTTGGGCAGGTTTCAATATAATTGAAGTGATGAGCTCATCCAAATTTACCTATAAGAGAATAGGGTACCTTTCATCATCGCAGAGTTTCCATTCTGATACTGAAGTAAGTTTATTTACGTTAAAATGTTAATACGTCTTTATTTTTCCTTCCTTTTCTTTTGTGGTATTTCGGTTTTTTCCTCTAATCGTAAACATTTGTTGGCTACTTTGTTCAGATTGGAATTTATGGTTTTTGTTTTTTTTTTGTTGTTTTTTTATCTTTGTTCTTTTAATTATGAACTTTATTATGTAATGCTTTTTTTAGTATTTTCTGTATGTGAGGGTTCGCTGGGTTTATCTATTTTAGTTTCCATGATTCGTGTATATAAATATACCTTTTCATGAGAAAATTATTACAAAATATTCCACATGTCATCATGGTTTTTATCTACTTATACAGTGAATGTTTGCAGCCAGTTAAATATGCTTGCACACACATACAAGCAGTAATTTTATATTAGGGCATCGTGTTGTCATATTTTTATGCAGTATTGACATACAAAAATGCCAGTATTATTATTAAATAAATTACATGCAACTTACATTACTTATAATAATATGTTGAAAATATTATATATTGTGAATTTGAGTAGTTAACATGAAGTGCTGTACATTACATGTGTATGAGGACATAAGCACAAAATGTACAGTTTTTCATTAGATTGGGTCCCACAATTGAAACAGCATGCTTCTCACATAGACCCGCTGCAGTAGATGATAATCCATGGTTCATTTTTCCACTGTTTTTTAACTTGCCTTAATTTGTAGAAGAGTCCTGAAGTAATGACCCCTTGCATGTAATCATGCTTTACATTGTGACATTCTAGACCTACAGTTAAACCTACATTACAGGAATAATTAAAATTTCATGCCTTATATTTTCTTGAAGTTCTTTTCAAATGTTCAGATGGTTCACATACATTTTTTGTTTCAGTGTGCCCTACAAATAAAATCCATTGGGATATAAATTTGTGATCGCAGAGGTCACAATCTTCACCTTTGTTAAAGGCTTCATCTAGTACACCCATTGAATTGTTCACAATGTGTGCCACTGCATTATCTTGCATGATATGCCCATATTATTTTTCTTCATTATGGTGAAGGGTCCAGGCTCATATAACATTTGTAATATATTGTTTCGTGAAGAAACATCGATCCAGTTTTGATCTCTACAATCTGTATAAGTTGCATTTAATGTTAAGGGTCTTTCTAGGCTTCTTTGATTTAATATGAATCATTTGCAAAGTATTGTCAGGTATGGGTATGGTATATGAGTTCATTCCATCAGAATTACTGTTCTTTATCAGAGTTACCCGGAGGGGATAGTATGAAAAATTATCTGTTTGTAGCAGAAAGTTACATTCACTGGCATCAGGAGTATTGAATGTATGACATATTTCAGTTGTTGATGCTCACAACAAACATGATCCGCAAGGACCTGAACAGTCAGAACCAGTATGATGCTGGGCTTGCTTTGTCTGGGTTATCATGTTTCATCAGTCCTGATCTTGCTAGGGACCTTGCCAATGATATAATGACTCTGGTGAGTACATTTCTCTCTTTCGTTTTCATCACCATTGTAATGTAATATCAGGTTGATTGTATGTTACATAAAATAGCTCAGAAGTATCACTAAAGTGAACATTGCATAAATGAACATTTTGCATTTTTAGAATATATTGATGAAAGTGTGATTGATGTTACCCTCACATAAAACATGGGCCTCCAAAAGCAACATAATATGGTATTCAGTTTTCTCATGGTGACTGTAGTATTACCAAATTCTCATTTGTACAACAGTGGCACAGTGCATTTTTGTAGCATGGTAGTTTGTGAAAAATTTGTCTTCAGTAAGTCTAGTGATTTACACTCAAATTTTGCACCGTGTAACATTGTTCTGTACCCCTCCACCCAGTGTTTTGTAACCTGTTGACTTGATAATGCAAGAAACAAATGTCACCTCAGTAATTGAATTGACCATTGTTCACAATGTGAAGAAACAGAGGTAAGAAATGTCAGTAATATTATGTTAATTTATTAGGGCACATAATGAAAAGAAAAGAGCTTCATTAAGGAACTATCATGGTTGCTGCCAGTGTTCCTGTAGAATGAGAACAGAAATGAAAGGAAATACATTTACTGACTTCAGTATCAGTAATCACAGGGCAAGCTGTATTTCAATTATTAAACCTGAAGATATTTCAGGAGATTTCTTTCATTGTGATATTAGGCGATCTTCTGATTTAAAAGGAGTTTGCATCTTATGTTAGAATCTGATCATTGTTTCAGCCATTCGTGAATATACACGTGCATGTCATTCCTGTTAGACTTTTGCCTTTTCCATCCTGGAATGTCGTATGACCACCCTGCAGCCTTCTACCTGTCAGACACATGAGAGTCAATGACATCTGCCCCTGTCATATCACCAGCTTTTTGCCGGAGTCTTGTCTGCCTACCTGGACTATACAGCAGTTTATACTGATGGGTCATTGCATGGTTTGACCGGTTGTGTATTTGTAAAGGTCAGGTGTTATTTCTTTTTAATTCGCTTAGTGGGGGGTGGAGTCCAACTGGGTCCACTCGGCATGGCGGCCACTGATTGGCCTATTGTAGCTTGCCCCGGGTGATTATGATGATTGAGAATTTGGTGGAATTAAGATGGGTAGGAGAAACCGAAGTACTCGGAGAAAACCAGCCCCAACGCTACTTTGTCCACTACATATCCCACTTGACCAGACCAGGGATCAAACCCGGGCCGCCATGGTGGGAAGCCAGCGACTAACTGCTTGAGCTATGGTGCAGCCAAAGTTCAGTTGTTAAATGAGCTCCACAGTTTTAACAGCGTATTTAGAGCCAGACTGTATGCTGTTTATCGAGCTCTTCTGTATATTTGTCGGCATCCTGGACATTGTCACATCTGTAGACTCTCTTGACTGTCCTCCAGAGTCTTCATGGATGTACTCGATCATCTGGTTGCTGTGGAAGTTCTGTGCAAGCTCTCAGTTGTCTGTATGGCAAGGAAGTCTGATGTGTTTTAGTGGGTACCAGGCCATATATGCCTGCTTGGCAGTGAGGCTGTTGATGCAGCTGCTAAAGAGGATGTCTTCATGAAATTCAGGCATCAGAATGAGCTCTTGGTGGTGATGTTCATCCTTGTATTTATCATGTAGTTTTATTTTCTTGGCAAGACAAATGCACTGCTACACTGAACAACAAATTGCAGGCATTGAGGCCATAAATCACGGTATGGTGGTTTTACTTCAGCCATATAATGAAGGAGAAAGCCCTGGTTGCACACCTTCTGATGGACACACTTGCCTGACACATGGTCATTTGTAAGGAACTGACCTGGCACCTTTGTGTTCTGTCCCTTACCATTTCACATGCACATTTAGAATGCTTGCAATATGAAGATCGTCATACGTTTCATCTTCAAGGCTCATTGCAGAAAATACTTGGAGATTTATTGTAGTAATATATCCAACATTGTTGCAGGATTGATGTGTTTGATTTTTGTGTGTTTATATTACTTCCAAGCTTGAACCATTACATGTTGTTTTAAGATGTTTACTGGCCTTTATACAGTCTGTTTTATTGAGGTTTGTTAATAGAATATTTATCCCTGTGCCTGTTAAGCTTTTTAGCAAGTGTTCGACCACTTTACAGTCTGAATCAGGTCTGTTTCAGGTACATTTATACTGGATTTTATAAAGGGTGATTAGCATTGAATGTTATGCAGATGCATATAGCCATCAGTGCTGAGATGCCTCAAAAAACATTTACACACACACATTCATGGACTTGTCATCTTCTGACAAGAGAATGCCTGGGTGCAGTCACTTATTTGTGATGGTGCACCAACCCTACTCCTGCCGACCCTACAATCGTGCATGCCAAGTGTTGTTGAGATTTGTGTCAGTGGTACTCACTGTATTGAAGACTGCTGTTACTCAAAAAAGATAGGTCTATGGCAAGAGATTAAGACCTACTAAAGTAGTACTTGGAGTACTACTGATGCTTGCCACAAAGGGGACTCAACGTATTAATACAAAATATCCATGATACATCAGATATGCAGTAACTGCTATAAGATTCTTTCATTTTATCATGTTTCACTGTAACCATCATGTCTCTGCTACCGAGTGTTGAACAGGCATAGATTATGGCACACTTAATATTTTTTGTCAAATTGAAAAGTGGCGTGAAGGCATACATTGTAACAGTAAATAGGAGTTGGTGTGTTGCAGCTGACATCAACTAAGCCCTATCTCAGAAAAAAAGCTGTCCTCATGATGTACAAGGTGTTTTTACGATTTCCCGAAGCTCTTAGGCCAGCATTTCCACGCCTTAAGGAGAAGCTTGAAGATCCAGATTCTGGTGAGTTAAGTGAAAAAAGAAAGTTATAGGAATTTTGTAAACTTAATTGGGGGAACAATAAATTGAAAACTTGAAATTTTATGTATTTAGGATGTAATGTCTTCATTTTCATTGTCACATTGGAGGGTTTTACAGGGTTCCTCTTAATATAGAATTAACTGAGGGTTTATAATTAGCAAAATCTTGGAACTGTGATGTATGTCATAAATTTGTGGAAGTTACATGTTTCAGTATAATTGTAGGTTATATATTTATGGTATTTATGGATGTTTACTTGCAACAGGTGTACAATCAGCAGCTGTGAATGTGGTGTGTGAGCTGGCACGCAAAAATCCCAAGAACTATCTAAGCCTGGCTCCAGTCTTCTTCAAACTAATGACCACTTCTACTAACAATTGGATGCTCATCAAGATAATTAAACTGGTGAGTGCTTAGATTTGTTCTCTTGGGATTTTGAATCTATGATTGGTCATGAATTTTGAAAGCCAGAAGAAAGAAATCTGTAGCAAAAATTTCCCAGGAAATGAATAGGTTTGAGTGAATTTTAATGGTATAATTAATATGTATTTTATTTAAAATTTGTTTTATGAAGGTGTGAATGTATTTTATTATATAAGGAAGGAATACACAGGATGAACAAAAACCATTTTGCCAAATTCTGGTATATGGTTCCACATACTGAAGTAATGAAAGAGGGCTGTATGTACATATGTCTGAAATGCATTTAGGTTTTAATGGCCCTTTTGAAATTTAGAACAGTTGAGGACAACAGCCTGTCTGGTGTACAAAATCACTTTTGGGTCTTGCACAGTAGGGCTCTGGCTCATTTCCTTGTTTGTGTCAGGCAACACATTAATCAAGTCTCTGGTGAAAAGTGCACAGGTCAAGGTGGGCCTGTTACTTGGCCCACTGGACCACAGTATAATGGACTTTCTTTGTGGGGGTCTTTGAAATGTGTAGTTTATGCCATTTCAGTCCATGATGTGGCAAAGTTGCAGCAGTACATAGGGAATGCTCATAAAACAATTAAGAGGGAAGGCAGGGATTTTTAAGCATGTGTAGTCCATGAGTCACTGTGCCAAGCTCTGTGTGGAGAAGGGCAGACAGCATATTGAACACTTACTATTCTGATACACTCAGAATAACTTAAGATATGCTAACCTCAGACATTCTAAAATTCCAAAGGGCCATAGCTCTGAAACGTGACCTTTTCAGACATGTTTATATGGACTATATGGACTTGTTTCAGTGTGTGTAACCATATCCCAAAGTTTGCAAAACATTTTTTGTTCAGTCTGTATACAGTGGTGAGTTAATAAGAGATCGGTACTGTAACATGACACCTGAAAGCTGGGACAGTGGAGTCAGAACAATGCCATGGAGATGTCCATTACTAGGCAGTGGCTTGGTAAACACATTCCTGTGGTAGCAGGTATGTCCACAACAGTAGAGGTACTGCAGAAGATGCTGTATTCTGTTGGGTCTATCCAAAGAGGCAGGAAAATATGGTCATTAGTCCTATGGGATCCAGGACCAAGAATGATTGTGCTGATGAGGCCAGCAGCAATTTACTTAACCCAGGACCATAGGTCAATCTTGGGACAGAAAAGTATGGTCATGGATCCTGTGGGGTAGGGAACCAAGACTGACTGTGTTGACAAACTTTCTGATATCACCTTTTAAAATGCAGAGACTTTTTAATTTTAAATGAACTTCTTTTCCATGCGCAGAAAATTTTTCACAAGAAGTTGTCAAGACGTTTTTGTGCCTTTTCAAACTGTATTTGACAGAGTATTAAATTTACTGTTTCCCGTACCCTCTTAAGGAGACTTTATTAGCCTTGGTTCAGAATTATTGAGTTTAGGAAATGACACAAGGAAATAAAGTAAATACATCCAAGTAATATACTTCATGATAATAATCAAAGTAAATGCCCATATCCATTACTCTACAACCCTTCTTCCTTTTCCTCTTTTATCTTCATTTGAGGTGTTGCAATAACAGGTATGCATGTCATTTGAATAAATTGTTACTGTTAACTGTATGATACCAACGATGGCAGCATTTTCACTTTTTTATTGGTGGATGAGGTATGTGTCATTGGTTCCTTGATAATATAAGAATAATCTATGGATCCATTCAAAAATACTATTTTTTTTGGGGGGGGTCTGTGGGCATGCTTTTTTTTGTTAGACTAGGTGATAGTGAGAACAAGAGCTTCTTGAGTCAGGGTGTTACAGAAGCATGAAACAGAGCCCTACTAGGTCATGGGCTAACCATTCCTCATGACCATTAACACCAGAGCGTGTTGCCAGGCTCAACATTGCTGCCAAATATCCTGAAAGACAGCTGAACCAATGCTACATGCTCCATTATGGTATCTGGGGAAGCCCACCCCACCTTGAAGGAAGTTATCCTGGCACCCTGTGGTGGTGCCCACTGAAAATTTGGGTATTTGTCACCAATATCACAAAGGAGTTCATCTTGGGGCTGGATATCCTGCATGCATACAATACATCTGTGGACTTAGGGCGCCATATGCTGGGTCTTGCAGAGGAAGAGGCATTGCTATGGAGCCCTGGGTTGGTGCCTCAGCCTTTTAGCCAGGTAGTGGCCACTGATCAGGTGATATCTGCACAATGTAGGGGGGTGGTGATGGCTCAATTGGAGAGCCCCCCTTGATGTGGAAAATGACCTGGTGGTACCGAGTTCAGAGGCTCATCCACCTGAAGGATTCTACATAGCCAGGACCTTGGTCAGAGACTGCTGGGAGGTATCTGTGAAGGTATTGAATGCTACCTGTCGCGAACAGAAGCTCACTAAAGGATCCCTTCTGGCACACTATGAGCCAGTCATGCTGGTTGCCTCGCGTGAACAACAACCACAGGCCTAAGACACTGCTCTGAATTTGCAGCAGCCAGGCTATGCCTGAGTAACACTGAATCCCAAGAGTTGGAAGAGCTCCTCACAAAGTACAGAGACATCTTTGCTATGAAGAGCGATGACTATGAATGAACTAACAGAGTGTACCACCATATTTTACTTTCAAACGATTAAAGAGCACATATGTAATTGACAAAATTTTAGAAATATTGTGAAACCTTAGAACACGTTACAATTAATATGTTGCTGGACATTATCCATCATCTTGTCTGTTCTTAAAAAACCGTCTAGTTTCTATTAAAAACACAACGTTTCGGGAACTGGAATCTGTCCCCGTCTTCAGGTAAAACCTACTCAGTTGGGTCCAATAGACAGAGCTAGCCCCTATCTCCGGACAACTATGCCAGTTTCAGAAGGGGTTCATAAAACAAGCACAACATAATCCATCTGTGAGAGCTAAGAAATTGAAGCTATCATATATTGAGGCTTAGCACCAGAGAAATATCTAGAATGAAATCTTACCGGGAGAGAAGCAATACTCCTTGTGGTACCAACATATGAAACAAATAGGGAGATAGGGGCTAGCTCTGTCTATTGGACCCAACTGAGTAGGTTTTACCTGAAGACGGGGACAGATTCCAGTTCCCGAAAGTTGTGTTTTTAATAGAAACTAGACGTTTTTTTAAGAACAGACAAGATGATGGATAATGTCCAGCAACATATTAATTGTAACAATTTACCATCATCACAAACTTTTAGATCTTACTTAGAACATGTATTAGTATGAGGAAGGTAACAGGAATGTGTGCTGTATGAAGAAAGCAGACTGTTAATGAGAGGGAGCCATAACTGTACCAGGCTAATATATAACATTAGCTCTTATTTGCTTAAAAACTATTCAGTCAGGTGCTGCATATAGAGCAATGTGCTTCTCATTATTTCTGAGTTACATTATTATGGAATGACAGAACACTATTTTTGATTACTGGAATTGTTGATACTGACAGATGTAAAGTAGGTTTAAAAAGGTTTGAATGGTATTGAATATTTTTATTTTATAATTCATAATTCTGTTCCAGTTTGGTGTCATGACTCATTTAGAGCCAAAAATTGGACGCAAACTTACACAACCACTGATAGACCTTATATCAAGGTAATTTTATATTTGCCCCAGGTTAAAAATACTCTGTCTCTAAATGCTGTAGATAAAGTATATGTAATTATATATCAGTATATAGTATGAACCACAGTCTGTGCAATAAAGGTTGTTGTATTTGGGATGCATAGTGCAATAGGAGAAGCTGGAATACAGCTTGCTGAAAGAATGCAGTTGTTTCATAGCATAAAACCAGATTCTGTATCTGTACTCTATACCCAGTTTATTTCTCATTTCCTGTCTCCTGTTAGCATCCTTGGAACAAAATTGAAATAAATTTACTTATAAATTCGTTTATTTCGTGAGATTTGGTAATTATTTTCCAAAGGTCAGAATTATAAGCCATGTAAGGTAGTCTTTCATTTTATTTGAAATATGGGGATTTGTCCTCTGAAATTTCAAACACCAGTCGGTACATGCTTGCATATCATCATTCTTCCTCTTCCTCTTCCCAAACCAATGTAAGTTCTTCTCTTGGTACTTCTTTCCAACTTCTGCATTCTCCTTAAGTTGCTTCTGATGCAGTTTTCCAGATTGATTTTTCTGTTGTTATTTTCAGTTTGGTGCCCTGACCCCTTTGGAACCTCGGCTTGGTAAAAAGCTAATAGAACCACTCACCAACCTCATTCACAGGTAAAATCGCCATCATTGCTGTAGACCTTTTGCTAAGCTATTAATCTATCCTGTTATGCTATATCAGAGGATATTGAGAAACATGGCTTATTGTTGATTATGCCTAGTTGCACTGCATTGCTCAGTTGTTTCCAGGCCTGACTCATTATATACAGATGTCCTGTGGAAGGGTTGATTATATTTTTCTTGCCTGTACGTTGGGTATTCAGTCTCTGAGAAACTGTACATATGGCTGCTTTGATGACACCTATGGTGTTATTTTAACAAAATGTGTGTAGGATAGGATCTTCAGGATGCATATATGATAATGACAAATAAACTTAATAATAATAAATATCAAACCAGTATGGCACATGCTCTTTAATCTACTTGCTTAATTTTTTGTCATACAGAAATCTTTACCAGAGTTTCTTATTAAACATTTTCTGATGTAATAGTTACATTGTCATTTTATTACGTTGCAGTTTACGTGTTTAGGTTATCTTGGAAAAATGTTTTTCCCAGTAGTGAGCACAGCTCTGCAAGAAGGACTGTTCTCCATGAAGTATTTACTGTGCACGGTCCATACTAGGGCCTCTGACTGCTTTTCTGGTTTTCATGTCATTTCACTTTCTGTTCATTTGCAGTCTCTTCTGCTCATGCATTGGAAACATTATTATTTGTGGGATGAAGTCTAGGATGCAGGTTTGACATAAATATGGCTGCTTTACAGGACTGGTGTGTGTTCCACATTTACATGTGCCTTTTTCAGAAGACCACATGGAGAAATTATATTTTCTTGTTTGTTTAAGTGCAGTGTTTCCCAGATGTTTTTCTGTGGAGCCATTTTGGTCTTCAAAAACTTGGTAGATCCCCAGAGCAAGGGAAAGCATATTAACTTTTTCTATGTATGTCAGTTTCTTTACAAACCAAAGTTTAGCACTTTAATGAAGACTTGGGATTAGTCTATGAATCATGGTGATCAGTGCCTGATGTAGGTGAACAGTCAGTATTTTAATTACATGATATTTGTAGAAAATTTTTCAGTTTTGGATCAGTTGGTCTGGACTTGGTTTCAGTGCATTATTATATCCACATCGCTTTTATCATGGATATTATTACCACTCTAGAAGTTGGATGATGATTCCTGAGAGAGTGAGAGCTGGGATTGTGAAGTTATGGATGGTGGTTGATAAGCTATTACTTCAGACCCAGACATAAAGAGTAAATTTATTGTACATAAATAAAGATTGTGCTGAACCCTTAAACACTCAGTAAAACACACTGTCTAAGCTAGGGCTGCACTGATTCTCATACTTAGAGTAGAACTTCATGAAAATCAGTTGATCTCCTGAAACACTGCACCTTCTTAACAAACAGGTATACATTTCTCTCATAGAATGTGAACTCGGTGGATTCCAGAAATACAGATGACCTTACCTTTTATATATTTGCTTTTTTATAGCTTGATCAGTACATTTACTCAGAAATAACAACAAATACTGAGTTACAACATTAAGTACAAGTAATTTGAATATGTCTGCACATTATCTTGATATTGAATACTCTTTAATACCTCTTTTTAATCCTTCTCTTTTATGAGGTTTCATAGTCCTTCAGCTATCTTGAAAGTATTACCCGACAATCGGACTCTGTAGATGATCTTGTTTGGTTGAATTTGGCTGATGCCTCCTCAGTAATTCAGGTAACGATTGGAACTTGAATTTCTTATGTGACTCTGTGTATTGGGTGGAGTTCTGGATGACCTGATTGAGCTGTCTGTCCTTGGAAACTCAGGGTGCCAGTCAGGAACTGATATGTCAAAGACAGGAATCACCTCAACCAGATCCGGGTTAGAAGCAGTGCCCATTGGAAGAGGCACTAGAGAGGCAGGTCTGGATTCCATCTGTTGTAGAAATCGTAACTTGTTCCAAGTCTGAAGAATCTATATCTAGGTTGGCTGTTGTCTGTTGTATACTCTGAACCATAGGCCATTTTCAATGTTCATCAGTGATGATAAGTGTATGACAAGCCTCATTTGTGAAGTGTTATGTAGCTGTGTTGCCAGTGTTGAGGGTGCTGTGACAGTGGCATCAGTAAGACTTCTGGAGTAGCAGCTTGGAGTGCTTGACAGATTCCTCAGGCACTCACAATCTGTTCTGATCACTTGTTCACGGGAGGCCCTGGTTTTAGCAGAGGGGTCTAAGTAATTTGCGTGTTATGGTTTTAAGCTTCATCTTGCCATCCCTTTCACACTAGCATGTCTTTCCTTGACATGATCTTCCATTCTGTATTTAGTAACAGTTCTGTTAACAGAATCTTGCAATTTCCTGTCCTTGAAATTAATTTCTGTGTGTCTCGCTTGGTTGCTGCTCACATAGCATGGAGTGCAAGCTAGTAATCCATGGGGCAGACTGTGCCATGAAGATGCTGGAAACTTAACAGATAAAAATTAAAATCTGCAAGTGTGATCAGTGGTTTTGTAACATTTGGAAGAGAGGAAGTCTTCCATTTTGGCAAATATGATATGTGTCCCTTATGACGTGACCTCAACATTCAAAGCAGAAGCAGTTATCAGAAAATTAATGAAGTTCAAAAATTAAAAGTTCGCCTTCAAATCATTCAGGATCCCCCCCGCCCCCATTTGATCTTGAATATACAAAACTCACACATATTACTTTGTTAGTTACATAGATGTTTAATTATTTGCATATATAAATTACAGATTCAAGATTAGTGTTTTTTTAATCTTTTTTAAATAATTTTTATGGTAATTCCTGTTAATGAATTTATGTTCTGCAGTTCTGTACTAATATGAATCATCTGTTTTGTAGCACATCAGCCATGTCCCTCCTGTATGAGTGCATCAATACAGTCATTGCAGGTAATTCCTTAGAATGATTATATATTCTTTCCTTTATTATCACTTGCAACTCATCCTTTACAATCATCTTTCCTTGTTTGTCTTCTTTGAGAGTACAAGCCTTTGGATAGTTGCTGTAGCGCCATTATGTAATATCCACAGTTTAAATGCTAATTGGCCATAAATTTGATCCAGTACTTTTAATCATAATGACTTTAGAATGGGTATAAATGTATAGTTCACAGTGATCTGACATTTATGTTTTTAAATATTGATTACTTATGTGTGATACTGGAATAAGGCCCTATTGTACATGTACAAGGGAGAGTCAGTAAATAGGCCACATATGGATGTAAAACAGCTGTCATGAACATGTTTCTGTGTGTATCAACTAAGCAGCAGCAGCACAGTCCAGCTTCATGACAGTCTAGGTAACAGACACATGCGCATGTTCAGAGGTTGGTTTCAGTAGTCAAATTGGTGGCCATGTTTGAGGAGTGTATTACCGAAAAGCAGCATTCTTTGTGGGCAAAAGGACTCGATGCAAAGGATATTCATAAAAAATGTTTCCTGATGATGGTGGGAAGTGTTTTTCGCGTAAAGCATTTCACAGCTGGGTTGAGATATTCTCAAGGACATTCAAAAGTCGCAAATGGTATCAGTGTTTGTGGAGGATATATTGAGAAATCAGTGCTTTTTCCAGGGTCAGTCATCACCTGTTTTATATCCACTTGTGACCTATTTACTGCCTCTCCCACATACTTCAGTGTGTTTAATTTTGTGGCTGCTTGTTATTCTACTACAAGTAATAGAGACTTTGCTGCACTGTATTTAGGGTGAGTCCTCTGGTTTGCAGCCATGAGAAGTCTAGAATGTCATTGCTATCTTTTTGGCACTTCCATACATTTATTTTAAAAGTCGTTGGGAAGGAAGTATTTGTAATTGCCTATTTCATGGTTTCAACATGCAAAACAAGGAAATTAGCAGCACAGCTGCATCTTATTTAGTATTCATGCTTATTTCAGTTGCTTGATAGTCAGTTCTCCAACAAAATATTGACATTTTCTGTTCTTTGACTATACTTTCTAGTTGGTACATGTTAGCACAATGTAATGTGATAACTGATTGGTCTGGTTACAGTTCTGATCTCAATTTCTTCAGGAATGCCAAACCATAGTGCATCAATACAGGTGAGTTACTTGAGGTATTTTCATTTGAATAAAGTATTTGGGCTTTTTTGAATACATTTGCCTGTACACACATTTCATTAGGTAGGATCTGCAGTTAGTCTTTTTAAAAGGTGTTGTGTAAATTTAATCCATGGGGGTGAAATTACACTACTTACAACAGAATACTGTGGAACCATAATAGAACAAGCATCTCTTATAACAATATTATATTTATAATGAGAAGAAACAAAAACACCATCAATTTCTTAATATTATATATATGGAAAAATCTTTTGTAAAATGAGCACATTTTTCTGAACTTTTGTCACGATGAGGGATTTATAGCCAGCCAGGACTTCTTTTTTGACAACTACGTGTGTGAAGTGTTATTTCAAGTCCACATCCCAAGCTGCTTATATGTAGCACTTAATAAAGGAAACATTAAAACACACCTTGTTCCTCTGCCTTTTTTAAGAAAATGAATACCATGGTTGGCAAAGGATCCTCAGAAATATTAGATTATAGAAAACAAGCCAAACTGCAGTGGTTACAGGATCCAAGTAAAATAAATTATGATAATCTGAACAGTATAAGACAGCTGGCACGTGAAGCTGACAAACTTGTCGCCATCTTTGAGCCGATTGTCTAGAGAAAATGTGGGAGCTTCAACGTCTCACAGCCCTATGGGCCTTCACGGCCTGTTAACAGGGATAGCGTTACCTTATAAGAAAGAATTGCCTGATCAGTGGAAAGAATCTGTTATGTACCAATTTACAAGATGGGTGATAAAGCTGACTGTAGTATTTATCAAGGGATATCACTCTTATCAGTTTCATACAAAATTTTATCCAGTATCCTTCTCCCAATGTTAAGACCATATACATATGATATTATTGGGGATCATAAGTGTATGTGTGTGTGTGTGTCTAAGGGGTGGGCCATAAAATCTGGCCCTTACACTGACCTTCAGTGGTCTGTTTTCATAAGTGTAGGTTTTGATGTAACAGATCACATGCTGATCAGATTTTTTTTTTTTGGTCAATACTGGGGAAAAAGTGGGAGTACAGTGGGATAGTACATCAGCTATTCATAGACTTCAAGAAAGGCTCTGCTTCAGATAAGAGGGAAGTATTGTACAGTATTCTCTCAGAGTTTGGTGTACCCATGAAACTAGTTAGGCTGATTGAAATGTTTTAAGTGAAATGTACAGTAAAGTGTATATAGGTAAAGTTTCTATTCTGTTACTGTTGTATATGCCTCAGTGGAAGAAGTTGAGTGAGGAGGCCAAGGACACACTTCCACAAGTCTATTGCATCAGTCTGCCATGTGACTCCACACTGTAAACATACATTGTTTTTACATGAGTGCTTTTTTGACTTTGTGTTATGTTTTGTCAGCAATGGATGACAGAATTGAGCAGCATGTCAGTATCAAGGTTTGCGTGAAACTTGGTTAAACTGCTACTGAAACCCTTGAAATGCTTTGTGAGGCTTTGGGTGAGCTTTTGGATAGCATTCACATTTCAGGGCCAGTTGAGTGTCAGTTGATGATGAATGTTCAGGGTGACCAGTCAACAGCAAAATAATGGAAAATGTTGAAAAAATTTGAGAACTCATCCACAAAGACTGTAAAAATCCATGGGCTTGTAGACACCTTTGAGATCAGTGATGGAGTTTGCCAGGCGATCTTAACAGAAAATTTCCCATTATTATTACTAACACTGCAGTCTCTCAGATTGTTGCAGTAATAACCTTAATATTACCTGAATGCTTGAACCAATCTTCATGAAACTTGATACATATATCAGGCAGTCTTAGGCCATCTAAACAGTGTACTTCATAAATCCCATCAGTATTACCAATGCTGCAGGCTCCCAAATTGTATTGTTTTATTGACTTCATTATGCATACATACTGAAGTTTTCTTTCTGGTCATTGTATCATATATTCAAATTACAGTGAAAGGAAATTAGGCAGTTAGTTCTTTCCAGAAGTCTTTTGGTTTTCATTAATAGCTGTACTACTGGTTCTTACTAGGGAATACTAGTTTTGTGTCCTGTGCTTAAGCATTTCTAGTTTCTGATGGTAAGCATTGGTAGGAATGGATTTCAGGTTTTTGTTGTGGTGTTTATTTATTTATGAGAACTGAAAGTAACAGCACATTCCTTACATAAAGTGTGTCATGACATTTTGGAGCATTTCTGCAGGAATTTGCTATGAGTTTCATGCACATATTCCTTGCAGAGTCTTCTGTGGTATAAGATCAACTGTGATATGAATGACTGTTTAGGAACTCCGTTAACAATTTATTTGACACTGACAAATCTGGAGATCGAGCTGGCCATGACACATCTCTAAAGCATCAAGTAATTCATGCTTGAAAGCTTTTACATAGAAGATCCATATATGATTTCACACTGTGGAAAGTTGCTCCTTTTGGTAACAAACATCTCCTGTGACTGTCACTGCTAAAGTAGTTTCAGGCTCTAGAAGAAAGGCTCTAGAATATGAAACAATGAATCAACATACTCAGTTGTGACCTTTAACAAATAATATTGTTACTCATGCAGTTCATGAATATTTTCAATTTTCCAGTAATGGTAATCTTGCTTATTTATGCCATCTTTATGTGAAATTGGCCATCAGTCAGGAAGAGCTTTGTTAACAATTTCTGGTGCTGTCTGCTGCAACTCGAAGTACGTACAGAATTACAAACAATTGTATCCCCTGCACTTAATTCATGAACAGTGATCATTCTATATGTATTAAAATAAATTCAGTGGAGAATTTGTTGAAATGTATGCTGTGACAGACTGAGCTAAACAAGGTAGTATGGTGTCCATCTGGTCATTTAAGACTGAATATTTTATGTGTGAACTTGGTCTTTGTTTTCAGGCATGTGGAGAGCTCAAGGTGGTTTTTTGTCTTTCACAGAGTTTTTAGTATGGAACTTTGTGACCCATTCTTTGTTAATGTTCTGGCATGACACATTACAAACTCCAAAATTCCATTGTGTTTAAATTATTTTGATCCAATTGCATGCTAGATAATCTCCCAAACCTTTTCTTCAGTATTATGCTTTACTTAGAGTTGCTTCACATCCATAGTTACTACCTAGAAACAGTCTTTCGATTGTTTCTGACAGGCCCACAAAAGTTGACCTTGACGACATTTTTAATATTAAATCTGTAGTGTGTGCATCTGTTCATAATATTTGTCCTTTTTTTCCCCTAGCTTTGTGTGCAGAAGCTGCGAATACTTATTGAAGACTCAGATCAGAATTGTAAGTTTTCTATACTGAAATTTAGAATTATGTTACATGCTATTAATTACAAATTCAGGGAATAAATAATAATGGATGTATAGTTAATCCTTATTAAATTTTTATATGTAAAATTTTTCTTATATCCATGTCTCTTCCATGAGGCAAAATCCTCAAGGTGTGTGTGGTCTTTTCAGTTTTCCATATTCTTACTTACTGTTCATGATAATGGTTTTGAATATTTTGAAGCTCCATATTATATTTGTCATGGCTATGTTCTTGTATCTTGACTTGAAATGTCTCTCACTCTTTTTCTATGTTGCATTGATTTCATCCATGTTTTATTCTCCATTTGCTGTGTTTTATCGTCATTTTGTTTTGCAGCAGAATTTTTCTTAATGGTATTTACAGTTTATGTTGCTCTTCTGGTGTTGCTGAATATCTGTCTACCTGAATATGTGAACCTTGACCATGCTAGTTTCATCATACACTCTTTACACCCTGTCTTCAATTTTTTGTTGTTTCCTGTTTTGTGCCATATTTTCTCATGTTGTCATTTTCATAATTGTTTTGTTGGCCTTCTGCAATTTTCCATATCATACTTTGTTCTTTATTTCTTCCTGTAAAATCAGTGTATTCATGAATATTGTGTTGTGGGAAAATAGTACTCTTAACAGTTATATGTTTTGACATGCAAAGCGTGTGTGTGTGTGTGTGTTTTTTAAATTCGCTTAGTGGGGGGTGGAGTCCAACCAGGTCCACTCGGCACAGCTGCCACTGGTTGGCCTGTTGTAGCCTGCCCTGGGTGATTATGATGATGGAGAATTTGATGGAATGAAGATTGGCAAGGGAAACGAAAGTACTCGCCCTATTGCCACTTTGTCCACCACAAATCCCACTTGACCAGACCCGAGATCGAACCCAGGCTGCTGCTGTGGCAAGCCAGCGGCTAACCGCTTGAGCTATGGCGCGTCCTTATGTATGTGTATTACACCGACACTGCTATTATTACTAGTTACATAACACTCGTTCTCATTTATCAGTCCTCCCTGTTTCCGCATTGAAACCTCCCAACAAAATTTGTATGTAGTGCTTAGGGAGTTGATAGAGTTCATGTTCTAGTTCTCAGAGGAACTGCCCTTTGTATCATCACATTTATTTTAGTTTGGGCTTGTGCCTTCAAAGCAGTATCAAGAGTGACCTCCTGGTGTTATATGTGACATTCTACTAACAGGGGCTACCCTCTGAAATGCTGATATGGTTCCATTATGTACGATAGGATATCCTGTTTCTGAATAATGATCATCATTCTGATTTCCATGAAAAAATGAACAACTGTCTGCTGGATCAGTGCTCATCTGACCTACACTGATCCCATCATACCTGACATATGTGGTTTGAGGTTCTGACAGTGGTGGCTATGAAAAATTTTGTCTTCAGCATTATAATGCTGTGTAGTCCACTGAGAATCAGCTGTAGACTTTGAGCGCACTACACACCATTATAATTTAGAAGCCAGAACTCCTCAGATCTGGCTTATAATTTGCTAATTTCATTGCTTTTGTGAATTGCTCTGTATAAACTATACATTCAAAGTTTCAAATGTCAAGTCTGTTTTCCACTGCACAGGTTATTCCAGAAAATTAAAATTGAACCTGTATAACATTTTGTAACATTCCTGCTTTTTAACAGTGAGAGTTGTTAGCCCCCTGCCAAGTCCCAAGTCTTTCAGCTATCCACAGCTGTTTGTTCATTATATTTGCAGGTAACTTCCTGTCTAGGTTGTTGTTAAATCAGATAAGTTTAAGTTGTCCATGTGCACCTGACAGAAATAAGGTGGTTCATATGAAAGAGAGGTTTGTGGATGGGAATTGCATTAAATTGTTGCAGGCTATGATACAGGTGTGGTTGTGCTGAAAGTTTTGAATATTCATGTTCTGTATTATCAAATTTCTTGAACACCTGAAAAACTGTTACCTGTTCATTGAAGATTCTGTACTGTCTGGTAATTTCCAATAAACTTAGCACTATATATATATATATAAGAATGTGATATACCCTGTGTTACAGTGTGGAGATTTAAAAACATTGGCCTAGGATTTATAAAAACCTTGTGTTTTTCTTCAGTGAAGTACCTGGGGCTTCTGGCTATGTCGAAGATACTCAAAACACATCCAAAGTCAGTGCAGGCTCACAAAGACCTCATTATGCAGTGTCTAGATGACAAGGATGAGTCAATCCGCCTTCGCGCTCTTGATCTCCTCTATGGCATGGCAAGTATATAATGGAATATTCAGAACATGCCATGGCTTCGCAGAATGTAAGAAAGCTTGACTTGTCCTTTGTGAAACATGCAAGATATGGCAGTTTATAAGTTCTTGCTTACACAATTTGAACTATTGTATTGCAATGTAAATAGGAATTATATTTTTAAATTATATAATTAGTGTCACTAAAATTGTGTTGAAAACTGATGTGCAGACAGGTAATTACATGGTAAGGATACACAGGTAATTTCTTTTAAAATTTGATATCAAATTGTGAATATTTCAAATACTGATAGTATGTGTTGAACATTTTATGTAATTTTGTGTTACCAGCAATTCTGTTTCCTTGGCACCATTTCAGCTGCAACCTACTGTTGTGTTATTTTAATGTAAACAATTTATATGTGCTTCTCTGTCCACATAATTTGTCACTTTAACTTGTTTCCATGCAGTTTTGATGATGTGTGAACTTGTGGTGTATCTGTGTTACTAATGCTGTTTCAGAATCCGAAATTAGTATTGTAGGTGACATAGACTGCTTCCTGTGGAGTCTTCACAGTGAGCAGAACTTTGTTTGTGGGTTACATATGAGCACCGTGCTTCACTTCTTAATTTGAAATCTATACGCTTGAATTCAGAATATGGATTTGCTTTCCACTTACGACCACTTGAGACTGGATAAGGAAATCATGCAGCAATTACATGCTGAGTCCTCTCCATTCATTGGTCTCTCAAGCAGTATTTCCATTATAATGTCTTCTGTCATCTGTCAAAGTCTTATCAGTTCACACAACATATTCTGTGCCTGTATGAATACAGTTATAGTCACTATGAAAGGTATAAGCTTTTCATTGAACCCAGAGTTTTTGGCTTTAGGAATAATGATAGCCCTTTCTTTGATAATGCAAAGAGAGGAAAACAAACAATGTAACAGCACCAGTATACCCACCAACCTAGGAAAGCAAAAATTGACTGTGTAAGATTTGAGGTTCTCACAGCTGAAGAGTACTATCTTCTGGGATATAACGCCATGTAGTCCACTGTAAGTCAGCTGATATTTTGGAGGAACATACCACCTCCATCTTCAGGGTAGAATAAGCCAAGCAAGATACCAGGGTGAAAGCAGGCAACAAGCCAAGTCACTTGCTTTCATGCTGGTATCTTGCTCAGCATATTCTTCCCTGGAATCGATATGTTCCTCTGAAATGTCAGTTGACCTCCAGTGGACTCTGGGATGTTATATCCCAGAAGATAGTTGGTGCAACTGAAAATAACATATTACAAAATGAAAAATACAGATTTGTGTGTCAAGTTGCATATATCAATTAAAGAATTTGGGTTGTGAATGAATGTGTTGGCCAAACAGGATGCCATTTTAAAAGTAGATACAAATACAGTAATATACAAACTCAGTCTAGACAAACCACTGTAGTTCAGTTTATGCACAGTATATTTTGAATACAAGTGGTCATTATGGTAAGTTAAGACACATTGGAAATTTTACGGATTAAGAAGAAAGGTATGCATTTAAATGTATTAGAACGATACTGTATTTGCATAAGTATAACAAAGTATATACATCAGAATTATACCTTTTTAATGATAAATACTTCTATGTCTTTGGTGTCATCTAGTTACCTGGTTACCCTAGTGCAACAAGAGACTAGGTCTATGATGACAGGCACAGAGGAACCAAGCTAGAGGAGACAAGTGGCTGATTGCAGACAATTGTGAATGTCTGTAAACAGTTATAGATGAGCTACAATACATGTCATGATGTCTTGTATTGATGTAGACAGAAAAAAGTAATCTAAAATGATTTACTTACCTTTGTGTCTTGATATAAAGGAAATATTTTTAGACATACAATTTTTTGTGTCTAATGTCAGCAATGACATGTATCATAAAGACAGGGAAATTCTACAGGTTAATGACATCAATTACTCTTTACTTTAAATCCGAAAACTCACGGAGGACGTTTATTGGTATAATTTGTATAAGAACTAGGGAGAAAATGTCATTGTGACAGATGGAAGTACTCATACATGGTAGATGTTACAGTCGGTTCATGCAAGATCTGTATGGATGGAAGATTATGTGTATTATGATGCAGGTATCTAAGAAGAATCTCATGGAGATTGTGAAAAAACTGATGGTGCACATGGACAAAGCTGAAGGTACAACCTACAGAGATGAGCTTCTCTCAAAAATTATTCAGATCTGTTCCCAGAATAACTACCAGTACATCACAAACTTTGAATGGTGAGTATTGAACCTTAGTCCAGAGGCTTGTAATTATGTTACTGATGCTTGTACAACTGGATAGGTTATGTAACATTCAATGAAGGATGACTGAATTTCAAGGTGGAAATGATGAGGGGGAAGCTGTCATGGCCTGTTTGCCTGGTAGGGCTAAAGGAAATTATGTCATACCTCAGGATAGTCAATCTCTGGGTTGAGATTTGAATGTGTGACCTTTGGCATACAAAGCAGGAGTCCCAATCACAGCTTACCAGAAATTCCAAATTGGATATGGATGCTTTCTTTTAAGTTCATATTCCTTAACAAAATTCTTGATCATACGTGTTGTCACATACGTATTACATGTATATCATATTCATATCGTCACTGTCATAACTATGCAATAGCATGGTAAACGAATGAAGATGTGCAAAGAGTTACGTGTAAGTTGTTGATTTTTAATCTGGTCATAGGATTCTAAATGTTCATAAAACCGTTTTTTCTTTCTCTCTTTCTCTACCTTTTTTTGTGTAAATGCATAAGATTTCTGGAGTGTTAAGAAGTGAATATTTCTGAATTTATTTTATCATTAACGTATTTTTATTTCCAAATGAGTACTTTTCTTTGTGGACTTTTAAGAGATTATCCATATCTGTATTATTGCACAGTGTATTCTTGATTCTCTGCCTGTGGATTATCTGGTTTCTGGCTTCTTCATTCACCTTTCTTAATACATGTTCACAGCTCTGCATAATGTCTAGTATATTTGATGATCTCTCATCAGCATGAACCAACTTGAGCATTGCTAGACAGATTTTCATGAAATTTTATGACAAGTTATGAGCCATTTCAGCTTTCATCCAAATCAATTTTAATGGACGCTTTCTATGAAAATCTGCATTATCTGTGTGCATTATCTCAAGCATGACTCAGTAATATTCAGCGAAGAGTAAAATGTGTCATACGAAAGATGAAGAGAACAGTAAAATTACATTTAATATTCAATATACTTTTCCATAAGTCGTATGTTATTCAGTATAAATAACCTGGATGCTATGCATACATTTTCAGATTTATTCATTCTGCAACCACTGGTCTACTCATCACACCCAAAGATTACCTTATGATTATTGGTGTATTACTTATTCATAATTTCCCTTTTAGGAGCAGAGATATTGGGAAATATATTGTGTTGTGCCACAACGATTGCAACGCTAAAATTTCTTTCTATATCTTACCGCTACCACCAATTTGTTGTGCCCTGATAGGGGTCAGTGACTGTACTCACCGCCTATCGGACGTCTGTGGATAACTCTTAACCTGTGAGGTGGAAAACATGCTTGCACTAGGGGAATCCACAAATAACTCGAGTACTCACCAACAACAATAAAGTAATATATAATGAAATAAAACACCATTACAACAAACAACCTGTCAATACACACAGAACCTGCAATTGAACCCCTGGTTTTAAATTCCTACATTTAACTGTCCATAATACGCTAAACCTAAATGGCACAAACCAACACTTTTACTTGTAACTTCAAACTCAGTACAAGGAAGACATGCTTCTACTATTTGAAACTCTTCATACAACTGGCAATTATTCTCATTACTTAAATTCTTGTCCACTACTGCTACATGGTTTCTGCCATTACCCGGAGTCCAGTTACTTTCCACAAAAAGAACCAGCAAAGTCAGTCCTAGAAATGTGATAGCCAAGATCATTTGCCTTTTCGTGCAAGATTCTGTCGTTTTATATGTAACAATTGCATAAATGTTGACGAACAAAATATTTAAATGCACGAGCACTTTCACATTTCTTTAAATTACCAAACTCACATGATTAGCATTATCTACAACCTCAAACCAACATACCAGTATAAATACAAATGGCTACCATCCAAACTTAATTACTAAACCAGATGCTGCTATCTAAACCATCCCTCAGTAATTCAGAATTACTCTGTTACACTCCAAGGTTTATACGCTAAAATAGTTTAACCAATTTTATCCTAAGAACCCATTCATCAGCCAAAATCATTGAACCAGAATAATATATTAACAATCATCAGTGATCCGAACACAGGCAAATACTCACGCTCACAAAAGAGGAAGACATGACTCCATTGCGTCTCCTTCCTACCACGCAACTGTTCTGAGCGACTCTTAAAATCAGAGTGTTCGTGGCTCCTCCCGTCCGAGCCCCTCAAAATTCCACATCACTAAAAGCTGCTCGTGCAAAACCCCCAAAGTCAGCAAACTGTGCGGTGGCGAGACTGGCCTCGTGTCGTCACTTCATTGTCAGCAGTTTCTATAGACTGTGCAACTGACACCGGATAGCTAAAGAATGTACGGCGTCTCAACTCTGGCTTCCGGCGGGTTTCCAACTTGTGGTTCACCAAACGTATGCAACTTTATAAAACTTATAATTGCTTTCTAATTAATAACACATAAATTTGACCCCTTGTTAGGATAAAACATACCCATTAATAACATGGGGCACAACAATTGTATTGATCTGTGTGATATTCATATATTCACCTGACAATTATTAGTATTTGATTTAGTCCATGGATTTCAATGCCAGTAACATTCTTTTTCTTAATATGCAGCTGTATGATATAAGAATGTAAGGATTAAAATATTGTAACATGTTTCGTTACTGAAGACGCCTATCAGATTGTTAATTGGTTTATTTAACAACCTACCAGTATCGGCTACAATTAATTACAACGCTGTTGTGGGGTTTCACACTTTATAACCCTATTCGCAATAATCAATTCACTCTGTCCTCAGTAGTCTACACGTATTCGCAGTACGGGAGCTATGTAAGTGTCCCTGTATCACACACTCCCAATTACACACATGCCTGGTTCTTCTTTCCACGATGGCTGCTATATTCCAATTCAACTCATAGGCTACTGCCTTGAGAACTCGCTTCGTAGGCTGCTACACTTTAACTTGTTCACTGCTGACTGGAGAACTGTCTTCGGCCGCTGATACACTTTAACTTCCTTTGGCGGCTGTGTAGTTCCCTTATGTAGTCGCAGTGTTTGCCTGTTACGTAATGAGTACCGCTGTTGCCTGATGACGTTTCGATAGCGGCGTTGCGTGCCATGTCACAGTGCGGAGGGGGGTAGGGAGCGCTGACTCACCCGCCATGTCACCGTGGCCAGAGCTGCCACGTCACTGCTGGGTAGGGAGGGGGTGTCTTCCATTGTGCAACATGTCACAATATATATGCTGTGATGATCAAATCAAGGAGGATTAGTTGGATGGAATATGTATTATATACGGAAGAGCTGAGAAGTGCATGCAAAATTCTACTCAGAAAAGTGTGAAGGAAAGAGACCGTTTTGAAGACTTAGATGTAGATGGGAGAATAATATTGACATGGATCTTAATGAGATAGGGTGGAAAGGCACATGGACTTGTCAGTTAGTTAGTTATGCAGTGCATGAAGTCTGAGTAACACTTTATTGTTAAAGATAACATATATGCTTACATCGTTTTACCACTGTGGAACTTTCTGTGTATACAAATATGATTGAAATATATTTAACTCAAGTATGAAATTTCTGGGTTGTGAAATATGATTATTAGTAATATATGTGTGTGTGAATTGTAACTGCTAGCTGCTGCAGGTTGGATCAGAGAGTGAAAATCGTGTAGCTGCCTACAAGTTCAGATATGTTAATTATTTGTTATTGTTATTGCTGTTCTGTCTAAATATTGGCCTGTGTGCTGAGTAAAGAATCATGAGCATTGACTGTATGTCTTACCCAGTAGCAAAAATGCAGATGAAGAAGAGTAAAATAACACAGAATTTTTAGAAACTTGCAGTACATTACAGCTGTTACCTATAGTTCTTTCTGATGCCTATGAATGCTGGATAAACGTAATATGCTGCAGTCCTGTTCTGTTTGTTTTATCAGGATATAACAGTTGACCTGAAATCATCAGCATTTAATATTGGCATGGGGAGGTCAACCTCCAGTTGCCCCAAGCCCTGACCACTACTTGGTCTATTATGCTCCCCTATTTTCATTACGACCTTCGTAGGAACCATCAGTGCTAGAGACAGAACCTGTTTGATTGCGGCCATACTAATATCATATTATATTTAAGCATCCTGTTACACTCTATACAATATATGACACAAACTCCGTCCGAAGTGCAACAATTTATTGTAGTTCTTTCATCTTCATTTCTTCTACACAGTGTACACAGTATACTAATATCATGCGGCTCTGGCCATGTAGAGCTGAAGGTCATCATTCTCTGCCCAGAAGCTGGTCATTGACAGTGCATGGTAGGAGGATCCATCCTCCTTTCCATATCTTCTACGTATAGCATTATCAGAAAGGTGCATCACAAAAAGAATAATCGCTAGTTATCTAATTATATTCATCCTTGCATTTTACTTCTTTATTATGCACAAAGTAGAACAATTTCGTCTATACTCGAGTTGTTTATAGTTGAAAGTGGCTACTTTAAGTGCAATAGTGTCTAGCACAATGTATTGGATTTGGTGTATGCAAGCACTGTGAATGAATCATATAGCATTTTATATATACCATTGTGGGGGACGCGCAGTAGTGTAGTTGGTTGAGGCTCTATCCTACAAACTGGAAAGTCATGGGTTCGAGTCCTAATGAGGTGGATTTTTTTCAGTTTACCTAATTCTTCAAGCCACACTATGGCCCTGTGGTTGACTCAGCCAATAACAGAAATGAGTACCAGGAATCCTCCTCGGGTGTAGAGGGCAGCCGGTGTGTAAGGGTGACAACCTTACCGCCATCTGTCAGCTGATTGTCTAGAGAAAATGTGAGAGCCTCGACATCTCACAACCTTATGGGCCTTCACTACCTGTTATGGGGTTATGTGTACCTTATATATATATATATCATTGTGTTGTGCATCTGTGCCTTTATTCACTGGACATCGTTAACAGTAACAAAAGTGTGAAGACTTATTCTATGTTATGAGATTTATGAAAGTAGGTCCTTTCCTAAATACTTTGAATCATAGTTGTTTTTAACTACATTGTTTTGTAAGTAACATATGTAATTCTCATTTCAGGTATGTGAGCGTGTTGGTAGAATTAACACGCATGGAAGGTAGTCAGCATGGATCACTTGTGGCATCTCAAATGCTGGATGTTGCAACACGAGTGCAAGCTATCAGGCAATTTGCTGTCCAGCAGATGGCTTTGCTTATAGACAGTGCACATTTATTAACAGCTCAGAGTTCTACAATGTCACAAGTTCTCTATGCAGCAGCCTGGATAACTGGAGAGTTCTCTCAGTAAGTCTGCAATTAGCTTCTCATCACTATTGATGGTGTTAACAAAATGTGAATTTGTGAAAATACATTCCTTAAATCTAACACCTTGGGTAAGTGTATGGAAATTTAAGTCCCCATGTCACTGTTGGTATTGTAATAGGGGAAAGGAGGTGACATGTCAAACAGTATAAAAATTTTCTACTTCACGAAGCCATTGCGTAACTCTGATTTGCCTTTTATTCCTCCATGTATAATGATTAAGAGTATTGTGAACAGCAAAGGTTGCAGGCAGAGGAGCAGGTAAGTGTTGAGTCCTGTATTTCATAACGTAACAGAAAGAGATATCATTTTCATGAAGTACAACCCCAGCTGATGTCAGCAGGAAATTAAGTGGAGAAGAAGCATGAAGAATTTTGAATTAACGTACCAGGTCATGTAGCCGAAAGAATCACGTGTTAATGAAACACAAACTCATCTGTTACCAGGAATGGAAAAAGAGAAACCATGCATGAGAATCACAGTCCATGACACCTAAGTAAATATCAGACAGGGAACTGTTAAATTCCACCGTATTCAAACTAATGCAGCTGTATGACCAAAATGAAAGATGTTTTTTTTATCCTTACTGTAGCATCAGAGAAACCAAGAATTTCCTGATACTTACTTCCCTTTATTTTGCTACTGTGGGATGAATAAGTGGCAGAGGAAACTGATTACATCATTTATGTGACCTTTATTGAAAATTGGCAGCAGTTGTATGAGAAAATAGACATCCCATCAGACGCTGAAATTTTCAGTTTCATCTGCATTGAGAGAAACAGTCATTTTCCAAGAAGACATCATACAGAGTGTTTAAGAAGAGAGAGGAAGAAACAGAAACAAATGGCATTGATGGGGATAAGAATGAAGATGTGTGAAGAGGAACAGCAGAAACTATGCAGGCTTTTGGAAGCAATGGACATGATCTGTAGTGTATGACTTGTTAACATGAAAGGATGTGCCAGGTCTCATCATTTAATGATGCCATTCACAAGTATGAGAAAATTCATTTTCAAAGCAAATTGTTCAGAAGAAAATTGCAGACATTTTTTAAATCCAAAATCATCAGCAATTAGACTTACAAACTGCAAGCAGTATGTTCCCTCTTGAATAAAATAGTTTGTTTAATTATATTAATATATTTTGACATTAAGGGTGAAAGCCAGAACAGTGGAACAAGTAGAAGTGGCCGTTGCTAGGCAGAAGCATGGTAACGCATTTTCACGGCAACAGTTAAACATGCTACAATAGAGGAGCTGTTGGAAATGGTATTTCTGTGCAGCCTGTGCTAAAGCTATATGGCAAGGACCAAATCCAGATTGTGTGTGTGTGTCTCAGTGAGAGAGTTGCTTCACTCCCAGAGTTGTGAGATATGCAGAACTTGGAGCCAAGAGTGACTGCTGGTGAGGGTCAGAAGCAATTTACCTGACCTGACTGACCACAGGTAGGTGAGTGAGAGTTGTGAGACAGAGGAATATGGTCATATAACCTGCAGGGCTTGAAGCCAAGAACTTCTGTGCTGGCAAAGGCCAGCAGCAAATTATCTGACCAGATCAGTTAGTTGTGTGTGTGTGTACATGAGAGAAAGAGAGTTGCAGTCAAGTGGCCATTTAGTAAATAAGTCCCTGTTTGAGTCACACAGTTGTAGTCAGTCACTTTCTCTCATCAAATAGGGAGCCCTTTTTCAAAACGCATAAAAGTCTTGGAAGGAAGAAACATGTTATAAGGTTGACTGTGTTGGCAAGGGGCAACAGTAATTTATCTGACCTGACCCAATTGAAGTTAGTTGTGAGTCAACTCTCATACATAGTTGGTGCTTAGCTGTGAGCACAGAAGTAGAGGAATCTCCTTTGTTAGAAGCCACTATCTAGCAATGACTAGTGAAGACATAACAAACTCAGAAGACTTAGTTTGTGCTGTAAGGAATTTATAGACTGTGTAAATTAGTGAGTCTCATAGTCATTGATAGTTATGTGTTACAAGAGTCCACTAAATCTTATTACCAGTCCAAACCCCATGTGAAGTCACTAACACATGACAATATGATACACAGCATTTTAAAACTTGTTTTGTTACTTCTTAATTCTGTCCTGTTTACAGGTACCTGACAGACCCCCAGTCAACACTTGAAGCCATGTTGCGTGGGCGTGTCTTTGCCTTACCAGGAGATATTCAGGCTGTTTATGTACAGAACATTCTCAAACTCTTCACTAACATCCTCAGTCACACAGAGGAGCATCAGGACATTGAAAGAATCAATAAGGTGATCATGCATCTTGTAACAGTATAAACACCAAAATTTATATTAATGCAGATGATTTTGCCTTTATTGGCCTAGCACATTCTTCTAATAGTAACTCTCTAGACTTGTGTTTTTGGGGTGCTTGGTTCAAATCTAGGCTGGGAGNTTTTTTTTTTTTTTTTTTTTTTTTTTTTTTTTTTTTTTTTTTTTTTTTTCCCCCCCCCCCAATGTTCCTTCTTCGGGTAATTTCTGGAATGGTGCGTTGATTAGGACATCACTTCTTCCTTTCAAATCCTTTTGATTCCGTCATTCACCAGCCATCCTACCATTCAGTGCTTTGTAGTTTTAAGATATTGACACCATCATAAAATAAACCACTGGCCAGTGAGTTGGCCTAGAAGGAAATCCCAATTCTTCTGATATATATATTTGGCCAAATGGGACTAACAAAATATATTGAATATACCTAATCCTTCCAGCCACATTATGACCCTGGGGTTGACTCAGCCTCTAACAGAAATGAGCACCAGGAAGATTCCTGGGGGTTAAAGGGTTGCAGGCATGTAAGGCTGACAACTTACTACCATCTGTCAGCTGATTGTCTGGAAAAAGTGGGAGCCTTGACCTTTCACACCCCCGTGGGCCTTCATGGCCTGTTACATGGACAGCTCTACCATTTATAACTGCTTTCCACTGCATGCAAGATGACCTGAGACCAGAGAAAATGAAGTTCATAACAAAAATATGAATAACACGCTTTCAGCCTGTTGAATTTTGGCTTTTGAAACTGTAAATACTTTGAGTTCAACTAAAATTTGTTTATCATTATGAGAGTGTGATTCGTTTGGTTTACAAATGCACGGATTTCGTTTAATGTCAAAATGCTTATTCACTGCTTAAGTATATTGAGAAGTTTGTGACTTAATTGCAATCAGACATATTTGTAAAAATGAAATTTATTTTCAGAGCTGAAATTGATACATAGCATAATGAATGCAATGTAAGCAAGAAATAGGCTCTTACATTGTAAAATCTTGCTATATTCCTGAAAGTGGATGTAATATTGTCAGATAGCACTGTGGGACTGTAAGTGCTGAGTAGTCTGACTACACTTTTATCATTGCTTTTTATTTGTCAAGAATAGGTGAGAGATAAACAGTTAACAGTATTATTTTTTTAATGTAACATGTTTGTAGGTATTAATTGATTTGGCACACAGTATTGACATTATCATACGTTTTACAGCTGTGTGACATGATAGCAGAGAATTTGCCACAGTTTGTGTCAAGTGCAGATCTAGAAGTCCAAGAACGGGCTAGCTCAGCTCTGCAACTTGTGCGGTATTTACAGAAACAAATTAACAAAGGTGAACTTGGAGTAGCTACAGAGTTGACAGCATGGTTTGCTGGAGAATTGAATCCTGTGGCTCCTAAAGCTCAGAAGAAAGTTCAAGTTCCCGAAGGGTAAGCAAAAATATTGTGTTTTTTTCTAATGTTAGCTTTGAGAAGTGATTTGGTCAATGTATGGTGAACAAATGATGTCCTGGTATGAAATATTAAAGTTGTAATGTAGGGTGAAGAATGGTAGTGAATCCTGGAAAGTTGACCTGCACATTATGCAGCCTGGAACGTCACAGAGTTAGGCCAGTATGGGACACATGCAGGATTTGGTGCACTCTGATGATCAGTAAAAATTTTTGTTGGTAGTTGCATCATTGTTTTCAGTAAGCATCAGAATGTACAGCAAATACCTCATATGAGGAATTATGATGCAGGAATGGTCTGATGCTAGCTTAAGAATCAGAAGTGGGCCTATTACTGTGGCAGAGAATGATCCAGACTTTTTCTGGACAATTGTCATGGGTGATAAAGCTTGGTGTATCATGTATGAGGTGCAATCAGAAAGTTCCCAGACTAGGTCAAAAAAGAAATTCTGGCAAAACCCTCATCTTCTGTATTTCTGTCTGTACTTTACATTGAATGTATTGTAGCATGTAGACCTTTTCCTAAGTAATGCCTGTGTAAACAATGCCCACTGCTAGGCAGTGACTGCAGAATTTTAAGATATATAGCAGCTGTTACTGAGTAACAGCTTCACAAACAAACATGTTCCCATGGCAGCAGTTTAATGAATGGGACAAGTTTAGAGTTCAGTCAGTTGTGAGATATTCGTTAGCTGGGAAGGATGTGAGGAGAAGATATGGGTGGAATCCATTACCAGGAAATGACTATTGAAGACAAAGAAGACTATATGTGTGCTGCAGTTAAATGATCTGTATAGAATGTTTAAACCAGTGAGGCTCCTATAATTATGAGTTGTGTATATAAGTGATCAGTAAATCTAAGTACCAATTCAAATCCTGTCTATAGTCATTGCTTCACAGTCACAGAGAAGAAATAACCACCTTCAGGTGGTTTCTCATAGAAGATGTATATACTGCTTGTAAAATAGGCAGCCTTTGAAGATCTCAAGTGAATTGTCAGTGCATGCATCTCTGAAGGGCTAATGACAATTTATGGTTAGGGCAGGAAGTTTGTTACTTACACACTTATGTGGGTCCATGTGCATACTCATGCAGACCCTACATTGTGTCAGTGTGATCATCATTATCTTGAGACCACTGAAAATATTGACATGTTCCTTTTGGCATGTCCACCACCATCTGTGGAGTTACAGGCTGGAAAGCCACTTTTCTTTTCTATAAATCCACACAAAGCATTGTCGGCATTGTCTAGTCTTGTTTGACTTGTGGCAGGTCTCTTTTAAGAACCCACAGACAGCACCCATTCTGTCTTTATGTTTACCATGTTTGAAACAATCTCATTCAATCCCGTTCTGTAATTACTGAAGTAAGGCAGTGAATTGAGAGGAATTGAATTAGGTTGGGCAGGCACATCAAATACATGTCATAAATATGTTGGGCTCCAGCCTAGGTGATTACACATTCACAAGTAGTTCATTGTCTGAAAAATGGAACATACTGAGAAACAAAGAAGGCTGATCCTTGTGCACCATATAACCATAGGTAGGTGAATATAACAATTTTTTCCTTGGCCAACACTTATGCAGCACTTTCTTTCAGTGAGATTGCATAGTCCCAAAAGCACAAATATTTCATCAACATTAAGTACAGACCATTTCTGCAAGTAAGATCCCAGAAAGGGAGACTGTGTGGAGAGCAGTCATAGTATTTGATGGAAATGTACGTATTTCTACAGTGTCTGACTGGTTGCATAGTAATACACATCCTTCCAATTTAAAAAAAAATGCTACTTATTTTAATGCAGAGACAAGGAGGTAGCAAGTTGCTGTGCTAGCATAGAGTCCCATCATAGAGATCACAGAATTTATGTTTAGACCATGCATAGTCAGAATGGATTAACTCAGATTGCATTGCCACATCTGTCAGTGAGTATGAAATCACAGTAATAGGAGAGAAGTGGTGGCCTTTACTATAGATTTATGGAATTTGCATTGTAATGGTTATATATTCCACAATCCCTGATTTATTTCATGAGTGGATGGAACATGATTTGCCTCATGTTCTGTTCCATAGACTGGATCTTGACATGTGGATTAATGACCCTCCATCTGAGAGCTCGGAGGATGAGGACATGGCCGGAGTAGGAGGACCTGACATATTTGTTAAGGCTAACAATTTGACAGATGGAATGTATGGTGAAAATAACCACAATAAAGAGCTGGAATTAACGGAGGAAGAGTTGGAAAAGGTAAGTGTTTAGGCTCTAGTAGTTACAGTACAGTGAGATGTCTATAAAATCAATATTGGAGTGACAGAAGTTTCAAATTTGTAACACAGTCTTAATTCAAATATTTCTTCCTCTTTAAATTTATTGTGTTCTTTATTATAAAATGAAAATTCATGTGGATTTCAGTTTTAAGAAATAAAAACTTTGGATATCGCTTCTGATAAAAGTCAGCTGACATTTTTGAGGAGCATGTTGCCATCATCTTCAGTACTGAGGAGTAAGGCAGGCAAGAAACCAGCATGCGTACTCTTTTGCTATGAAGATGGAGATAATATGTTCCTCCGAAACATCAGCTGACTTTCAGTGGATTGCATAGCAGTAAATTGCAGAAGGTGGAATCTTTCATAGCCACCACTCTGAGAATCTCAAGTCTGAGTTCTCTTTTGTTCTTGTTTATGACCATTTCAGCAGTTTGGTGTCTTTATTGAATCCTGTTCAAAATTAGTAATTCATGACACAAATCTTTTTGTAGAGTATTTTTGTGTTATACTCAGTGTTAATTGGTGCAGAGTGGTGTTGGAAATGTTAAAAATTTAAAGAGTAACAATTTTGGACACCTAGAAAAAGTTGTAGTTGCAAAGTATGAACTAAAGTAGTGCTGACATGATACAAGGCTTCTAAATTTCTTGTTTTATAGCTAAGCTAATGGAACATGAATTTTATAGTAATGGTGTTATTGCTTTGTAAGCTGTATTACAGATATATTAATGTCATAGTGAGGATGTTAGAGTGTATTAGGTTCATGCATTATAAAGTTTTGAGCGTGAAAGGGTATGGATTGTATTAGCTTCCATGTCTCTTTTATTCCTGATGTTTCACTTCTTATGAAAGGTATATAATGCATCAGTCTACAAAGCAGTAGTTCTGAAAAAGACAAAATAGGCACTACTGTGTTAACATTTCTTTTATTAGCTGTTGGTGGCAACACTACATGTTTTGACCCTTCTCTTGTGTCATCTTCTCGCGTAAAAGAATACTGGTATTAGTTCCTGAATTGCATCATTAATCAATATGAATTCGTATTGGGTTTGTATGAATTTTTATACTAACAAATACACCTTATATTCTAATTTAAATGTAATTCACATACAGTTGAAACTTGCCATTAAAATTTTTATGCTAACAAATACACTTTAAATTGACACCAACAGCTTATAAAACAAATGTTGACACAGTAGTGCCTGTTTTGCCTTTTTCAGAACAATTGTTATGTAGACTGACCCATTGTATACATTTCGTATGATACACAACAGGATGCATACATGTACCATAAAAGTTCACTTCTTACGCTCAATATTGCAGCGTCGACAAGCCCGCAGACTGGAGCAGGCAAACAACCCACACTACTTGAAGACATCTTATGAACACAAGACAAACAACAGGTTCAGCAGCACAGTGATAGATGAATTTGCAGAGATTCCAATTACAGAAATTGACCTACCTGTCCAACTTAAAGTTCCAGGTGGGTACAGTTGTCATGTGATTGTTTCTTATGTGATGCAGATTTATTATGGATGTCAGGCTGTACAGCAATACATTGCACTAAATTGTCCTTGTAGTGCTCCCATATATTGCTGTATTTTTGTAGGACCCACATTTAATCTTTGCTCCTAGACTGTTTTGTAATTTTTTCAGTACTTTTAAATAACTGCTGATAATAGCTTTTTTACAGGTAATCATGAATTTTCATTAAAATCATATAAAACAGTCCCTTCTTGTGAAACATTCATGATAGAGTTGATATAATTTTGTATTAATAGACTTATTACAATTATATCTCAGAATAAAGTAAGCTAAATTTGATTCGTTTCATTCTAGTCTGTCACACTAACAATATCATAAAGAGGTTATGGGATGTAAGGGATGAAGGTTTGAAATAAGAAAAATCTTCACGAGTCACACTGGACGGAACTGTTTAACCATTTATGAAAAAGTAAACTAGTTTATGCATTGTGTATGAAATCTTGTAGTCATCATGACTATATATTCAAGAAACATATGAACTCTAATAAAGCATCATATGAAAAGTCAATAAAACCAAAACTTAGCTCATGAAATTTTCAGATATGCAAAATACATTTACATCTCACTTAAGCAACTTTGTACAATAATGTATGATAATTATTGTTCTCATTATAAAATTTTGTGCATCGTCAGTTGGTTTGTTTGCTGTCAAATTATGAAAGGTCATTGTGTTGAATAGCAAAAACAGTTTTTCATGCTGAAAGGAAGTTGAACGTGTGGACAAGGAACTGTGATGCAGCTGAAATATAAGTTGTTATGCTGTGAAGTTTTTCTATGTATCTGAAAGATGGAACTAAAATGCTTTCATATAATTGTCTTTTTTTTAGGAAAGGACATGTTTGAAATGAGAAGGTTGAAAATGTTGTCAGAGGTGCTTGCCGGTGTTAACAGGAACACATAAATAAATCATTCATGTCATTGCATTTATTCTCTGTAGATAAACAGCAGTTTTGGCTTTATTGCATAGTCATATGAGTATAGAAATATCCTTAAGTGGAGAGTCCACTATACACATTAACACATCAGAAATTGAGGTGTGGGGGCAAGCAGTATACTGAAGTGATTAGAACATTAAACAAAGAGGATGGATTGTGTATATATTCCATTGTCATATATCATGGGCCTGTATATATATCATGGGAAGACTGTTGTAAATGATTAGTAAAATTTCCTTTCTATGTTATTAAATGTTTGACCTTTTTTCTAAATACATGTGTGTATATTTTAGGTCTCACTTCACCTGACAGCTATCTCAATTTGGATCGGTCTTCGGACAAACGACACAAGAAGAAGAAAAGGAGGAAAGGAAAGAAAGGTAATTTTACAGACCAGCATTTTTGGAACAGATGTAGAGGTTTAAATAAATTAGAAACTGACAGAATTTTCCTCCATGTTCTTATTTTAGAGATTAATGATAACACACACATAAAATGACCAGTAGAAGTAAAGAGTTGACTATATTTTGGAAAGTATTTACAGTTTTGCTTTCTTCGTGTATGTGTTTATTTATTATAGGTATATGTCTGTTTTAGATGGACCTCATGAACTTTAGAGATAAGACAATGCAAGTCTCAGATTATGTTGCTTATGAACATAATAAATAATAATTAAAACATTTGAAGTACAAGAATGTAATGGAATGGTTCTGCCATTTTCATTTTATGTATAGGATAATAATGTATGTGGAATCAAAAGAACATGCAAGAACCATAGGTCTAAAACCAGAATTTAAAATTGTATTGTATACTCATAAATATGTGGAGCTGGGATAGTGTAGTCAGTATAGTAACTGACTACAGGCTGGATGACCAAGGGGTCAGAGTTCGAGGCCCAGTAGGGTCAAGAATTTTCTCCAAATCATCCAGACCAGCTCCGGGGTCCACCTATCCTATCCAGTGGGTACCGGTGGTGAAGTGGCCAGGGCGTGAAGCTGACCACTCACCTCTAGCTACTACCAAGGTCACGAAAATGTGGATCTATACATCTAGTCCCACATATGCCTTCATGGTGTAGTACGTAATTAGTTAAGCACAGGGACAATTTTACCTTACCTTACCTTTTTTTAAGTACAAGAAGATCCTGATTTAATGTTCCTGTAATTAATTTTGATTTAGTGAACAGCCTGTATTTTGTATTAAAAACTTTAGCATATCAGAACTCATACCTCAATTTTGTGTAATTATTATTAGAATATCAGTTTTATCATTTGCTGTGTGCTGGAAATCATTCCCACACAGCAAATATGTTTATTTCTTATGTACATAATTGTTTTTGAAGTAATTTTATATTATTTATTTTTATAGAAATGTATTCTTTCATTGTTTGTTTAACATATTTTTAATTATTTTGTAAATTAATTTCATACTACTGATTATGTAATTTATTTGTGAAAAAATAATTTAATTCACTATTTAACACAATTTTTTCATAATTATATACAGTAAGTTTCACAAGAAGATGAACAGTTTCTTGGTGTAATTTTTCTTTGCCTCCATTTAGTGAGAACATGGATTTAGTGTAAGGAAATTTTTTTCCTTACATATTCATTACATGGGGATTTCACTTTAGAAGTTACAGGTCTGTAATTCCAAAGTGAAATGAAGTATGTTGAAGAATTCTGAAACATGTAGGTAGGCAGGTGTGGTTTTGCCATTATGAATTTATTTCATGCACTGTATTATGGAGATCCAGTCTAGAAAACTGAGATTAACAGCCTTGGTTATCTGTTGTGCTGACCACACGACACCCTCCATCCACTAAAGTTGGCACTAACTTCAACAAGCAGCCGTCGCTTGGTCAGTATAGTTCACTTGCAGACTACAGGCCATGGAGTTTGTTTGTTATGCTGATGGTGTGAATGAAAAATACCAAAGGTAATGTAAATAGTTTTCAAGATGTAGTCAGTTTCACTTACATATTTTCTGTTAGGGAAAGTGGCCACAAGTGAGGAGGAAGAAGAGGTTGTTGCACCTCTCCATGTAGTGAACACAGACATTGGAGAAATGCCTGAAGGAGCACAAGTTTCTGATGGAGAAGAGCCTGACTCTCGACCAAATGATGATCCTCATAAAGCACTAGACATTAACTTGGATGAGTATGTTATGCATATGTTCACCCAACGTTAGATTGAACAGTTTCAGTTACATACATATTGTTTAGCTGGAACAGGCAAATTCTTGTTACCGCTGTTCACAGTCTGACAACTTTTAGTGGCATCATTCACTGTCTACTTAATGGCCCATCTAATGAGGGGCTTTCTTATGGTGGTATTCAGTAGAAGTATTGGGTTAATGTTGATGTTTTTAAAATATAATATGCTGATAGAAGTTTGTAAACTCTCTTCTAATAAGGAGAGGAAGGGATATTTAAATATTTCCTTTTTCACAATGTGCCCAATCTAGAATTGTGTGTCACTTTACAATTTACAATATAATCTCACATGGAAATTCGTATTTCTTGAAATTTTTTGTCTCTCATAATATTTATGTAGGTTGTATGATTGTCGTCTTTTCAGATATGTTCTTTATTTTTTAGACCTCTGCGAGATGAGGAGAAACTTCCTGTTCTAACACATCGAACTGTAGAGTCGCCACCTACAGAACAACCTGGTGGAAAGATGAAGAAACCTCACCACCACAAAGACAAAAGTAGAAGTAAGGACAAGGAAAAGAAGTCTAAGAGCAAATCGAGAGAGCACCATAGCAGCAAGAGTAGTAGAAAGGTAAATGTTATGAAATGTGACTTCTAATAGTAGTCATCTATACATAAGGCTTCAGTTTCTTTACTGGCAAGTATAGTCTACATTCCAGACATTTGTACTATATTGTTGTTCAGAATAGACCTACTGGATAGCCTGTTCAAATGTAATAGTTGTATTATAGTTATTAACCCTTTCAGTGCTAGTATGCCGACACCTTTCTCATACTTAAGTTATCATGTAAAATATTGATTGCCGTTCCGTATGACACACCTACGGCCTCTGCTACTTCGCGCACTTTAGTTCGGCGATCAGCGAGAATCATGTCGTGGACCTTTTCAACGATTTCCTCGGTAACGATGTCTGCCGGGCGGCCTGGCTGCTCCTCATCAAAAACATATGTACGACCACGTTTAAATTTGTTGAACCAATATCTCACGGTTGTCATAGATGGTGAAGGATCCCCATAGATGGCATCCAACTTCGCTTTTATTTCTTCGCATGTTTTTCCATCCAAAAATAAAAAGCGAATTACGGATCAATGTTGCACTTTTTCCATTGTATCGAGAAGGACGAAACACGTCTGATGCAACTGGCTGCCAAATAAAAACTAACCTATGAATCAGTCTGAAATTTAATATGGTGTTGTTTGACAGATGGCAGTACACGACGGTAATACCAACTTCCCTCAGCAACGCCACCTGTCTTCAGACATGGATACTTATTGATCGACCCTCGTAACTCTCAGTACCCTCTTTGCTGAATTATTTTTGAATAAATCTTTTATAAATAATTTAAGTGCAAGGTGTGAAAATATGTGATAAATTGTAACTAATCTTACCTCAAACAGGGAACAGGCAGCAGAAGTTGCAAGAATGTTGACTTATTCAGTATTTTTCACAGGGGAAAATTCCATTTAAATCAGGGTTTTCCAAGATGGCCAAAAAAGTACCTAATTCACTATCCTAAAATCACTGTATTTATATCACAGTCTTATCACTATGTCACATGTTGACCAAAGTCTACAACTTTATTCAAAACTATTTTAGAAAGCACCACACACTATACGAAGCCATTTTTACTAGCCCTGTGAAATACCCGCATCACATGACCACAGAGCATGTGCCTTGCTGTGCAGATGCAGCCTTTTACATTTCTTAAGCTAGAGTGCAGAAGAATGCAGCTATTGAAATGAATGATGCTTCATTACGTTCCCAATAGACGAGTCTATGGACCCGCCAAGTTTGAAAGAAATTGGTGCAAAGAAACCTAAAATTTGAAAGTCTTAAAAGTCGTAGTACGGGGTTTGTAGATCACAGCAAGGACGCCATGTTTTTCAGAGATCGACATATGTCGACCGCAGCAGTGTAAAGGTTAATACAGCCAGATTATATGGATTAAATAAAAGCCAAAAATATGGGCTAATAATGTGTTAAAAATACACTGAAGGCTGTGTAAAATGAAAGAATAAGTATACTTTTTTTACTTTTACTTTTGAGTTTATTTTATTATATTTTCTCATTTTGAAAATTTATTTAGTATTGAGTGATTAGGATTTGCCATTTGGTATTACTAGTTTTAAGGACAGAAGTTTTCCAAATGGGTATGTAGTCTGTAAAGGTAAAAGGAGAAAGTGATTACATTTACTTGTTCAATTATAATGCTAGGTCTATTCAGAAAGAAACCTCCAGTGAAATGTTAACAAAACAAGCAGTAAAAAATATTATATACAAAAGATATGTATGTACTTAAGCTACTCCTCAGCATAGTCACTGCCAGAATTGAGGCACATGTATCAGGGAATAAGTTTCTGTATGCCTGTGCCAGAGAAATCTGTGACCCTAGCCACATTTTGACACCTCATCAACTCCTCATTATTGCTGAAAAACTGTGATCTTGACCATTTAGTCTTTCACAATGCACTTCTGACTTTATTGTGGCACCTTGTTGCATGAATTCTACCATCAGTGCTCCTTTCCTGTCCCAGAAAACAGTTGCCATAGCTTTCTGACAGGTACACAACATTTGTTTAAAACTTTTTCACCTTTTTTGGTGAATGTGTGTGCGTCCACTGCTTCGACTGCCCTTTGGTTTCAGCATTCACAAATAAAACCCAGGTTTCATCACCTGTTACTCGTACAACATGATTGAGAAATTCATCGCCATCGTTTTTGGTATTGCTCTAAAAAAGTCGAAGCTGAAGCCATTATCTGTGTGCACCTGTGAACATTCATGGAACCCATGTTGTGCAAAACTTGTGATAGCTTAGCCTAACTGTAATAATCTCACAGAGAACAGTGTGCAAGATTTGTGGAAATTCACATGAGAGTTCTGAAATTGTGAAGGGCTGTCACAAATTTTTTGATCAACATATTGAACGAGAGCATCACTCACTACAAATGGCCACCCACTTCGTTTTTCATTGTGAACATTTGTTTGCCCATCTTTGAAAATTCTACCCCATTGTCTTACAGTTCCTTCACTCATTATATTTTAGCTGTAAGCCGTGCATAATTCATGATCAGTTTTTGCAGCACTCATGTTTTTAGCATGAAGGAAGCGGATAACAGCAAAAATTACACAGGCTAGCGGGATTATCAGTCACAGGACATATCATAACTCACTCTTTACAGACATGAAGAGACACTGGGTGACCAGTTATGTGATGCTTTAAAAGACAGTGAGTCATGAATTGCTACCTTGCATGCACAAGCTCTCCCCTGCTCCTACATTAGTTGCCTCAGATAAACAAGAGTTTACTTTCTGAATATCTTTCATATCACTGCTCCATCCATCACTGTATTAACTCACAGAGTGAGATGGGTTTTTGAAGGATGATCTGTTGAATTGACAGTACTTAATGAATTTCAGTGATGTATAATTTGTTATGCTCATACTTAATATATTATTTGCATAATGTGCATTCTGTATATCTTCTATTCATGTTTACTCTTTCACATTCTTGGGCTCAGCCTGACAGCTGCTGTAATCACTTCCATTCCATTCTTGAACTAAATCTAACAATTTAGACTTTTTAACCCCCCCCCCTCCAAAAAAGAACAGTAAAGAAATAAAGAAAAAAATAAAAAAGGAATAATAAGAGTTGCCTTTCATGAATTGAGATTTATCAATCTTGGTGGGATCCGTTATACATAACTAACATTACACATTAATAAGAGATTGAATCTTACAGTTTGGGAACCCAAGTAAAATAAAGAGGAACTGATTTGATTGCATGTGTCAAAATATATAGAAGTAAAAGGGGTAAAACAGTGTTATACTTTTTCATGTATACAACACTGCTACACAAAAAAACCTGGTTTCCATTTTTTTTTACTTAATGTATAATTGTACTTAATGATGTTTATGTTTATTGAATTGAATTGAATTTATTTACATTCTATAAATCCTAAGCAGGTTAGTACCTTTGGATACAGAACAAGTCAAAATGTTACATACATAAGTACAGGCAATTTTAGCTTAAAAATTAATATAACTTAATTTTACATCATTCTCTATTTACATTGAAGTATTCATCTAAAGAGTAGAAGGAATGAGCATGTAGATAATTCTTTAACTCTGATTTAAACTTTTTAGTATCATTGCCCAAGTTTTTAATACTTTGTGGCAGATTGTTGAACACTTTTATGCCAGTAAAGTAGACTCCTTTTTGATATACTGATAAAGTTGATGAGGGTAGGTGGAAGTTGTATTTTTGTCTAGTATTCATGTTATAGACATCAGAATTTAATTTGAATTTATCTTTGTTGTAAACAACAAATAGGAGAAGCGATAATATGTATTGCGATTGAAGCGGTAGAATTTTTAATTTCTTAAATAATTCTCTACATTGTAAACTGTACCCTTTTTTTTTATTTTATTGTGTTTAGAACATCACACTTGTTCATGTACACAGTAATACCACATAAAAGGATGTAGTTTGAGAAGTCAACTCTCTGAAGTAGGTATAATACACATATAAATACAGTATCCCTCCACATTAAGCTGTTCTCCTCAACCTTATCCTCTGCTGACACTGCTATTTTTGTATGGGTTATTTAACACTGAAGCCTCTTTATCTGCCTTCCTAGAGCTGCTCTGTCTCTGCTTCTGCCCATGTTTATCTTTCCTCCTATATGATAGCTTTCCTAGTCTTGATATCAAGTTTTCCTGGTAGATATTATTTTCTTGTTTTCATTATCAAAAATTTGGAATGTTCTTTTTGTTTATTCTTAAACATTGCCATGCCATCTTAGTTTGTAATTTGTTAATTTATTTTGCAATATATCTCTCTTTAAATTCTCTCTTATTTTCTTATTTCTATCTCTCCCCCCCTTCCAGATTTTTTCCTTGTACACTGTTTATATAGTATAATAATTCTGTGGTTATAGGTACTATATGCTGTAGTATAGTTCATTATTAACTCCCTTAAGCTTGTAGTGGGAAAGTGCTGCTATTCACAACATCAAGATAGACTAGTTTTCAAATCCAAAATGAAACTGACTACATTTTCAAAAATATCTTACATAGATGGCTGCACAAAGTAGTACTTGGATGAACAAAATATGTGTTTACTGTAAGATAGTGAGAATTGTGCTACCCCTGCATCAACTGTTTATAAGCCCTGAGGACCATGGCATCCATCTTAAATAAGTTTTCTCCAAGGCTGATGTATCAGTAATTTGTTGTTTTTATACAGTAAACTTTGGTTAAGAGGTTCCTCTTTAAGGTGTTATCCCACCTGTGATATTCAGATCTTTTGCTCTCAGAAATTTTCCTGTCAAGCTAATGTGTCAGAATTAAGTTTTATGTACACAGTAAACTTGATTATGAGGTTACTGTTTAAGATCTTTTCCCATTCATGATATTCACATTATTTGGTGTACAAAATTCCCCCATAAACTGCTTAGTATGTTTCTACCATAAAAAATAGTATCAGCATAGAAAACACCATTTTAATGTCATGAAACCTGTATTTTATACATTTAATGTGTTTTTCAGTAGTTTTCTCACAAGCCAACCCATTCATTGCAGATTTCATCCCTTTATAAAGGAAGGTTACAGATTTTGGTTTCTATTAATTGGTATTCACACATGCACATATGCATGCGTGCTCTTTCTCTCTCTCTGACAGAAACTTTGGTTTAGTGGTTTTCCATATGTGATTGCTTTTCTGTCACATTGTTTTAAGCCTTAAGTGATCATCGATCTTCTGTATTTCTGATTAAGGTTATGAGGTTTTTGGTCGTTTTTGGTCACTTTAAAGTTTGGTGTCTGCAGATCACTTGTTGATTGAGTGTTACCACATGTTCCTGAATCTACCTGTGTATGTGGGAGTAAAAGAGATCAGTCCTCATATTTGTTATTTAGTGTAAACAGTTGGTAACATAGTCCCTTAGTTGGTTACACAAACAGTTAACTTCTATTTGCAGGCATTAGACAGTGTGGACTTGTGGCTTACTGAGGATCCTCCAGATAACCAGCCTGTGATATTAGAATCAAATCAGAATGAAACTTACTCAGTTAAGAATGTAGAACTGAAGACTTCAAGAGAAAAGAAGAGGAAAACCAAAGATGGTGAAGTGACCTCATTAATTTTTGCTTGTTGCTTTGTTTTGGTAGAATAATTTCTGGAAAGTGTTCCAAGCATTACACTTCAGTAAAACAGAAGTTTCCTACATGCCCATCTCTATTATTAATCTATTTAAAAGTTTTGATTTTGTAAGTTCAGAATTAAATTTCATAATGGAATAACAGTTACAATAATTTATGACATGAGGTGACTAGGAAATTAAAAATATTTGTAACTCAGAAATATTCATGAACTCAACCTTCTTCTTATTGCCCTCATATATATTATTTATTGATAGAATGTTGCATAAGTAATTAGTACATTAAGTTCGTAATCTGATTCTATCATAATCTTTTGGCAGAGGTGGGTGGATGAGTGCTTGCATGCACACATGGGAGTATGCATATATATGCATTGATGTGAGTGTGAGCATGTGTGCTCAGTGGTGTTTACCCAATCCTTCATTTCTTGTTGATGGTGATAGAGGAGGTTTCCAAAATGTACTTGAAATTCATATTGATACAGGCAGTTGCCATAGAAGATTTGATGCCATTCGTTAATAGTTTGTGAACTTATAAATGCAGTATATTTTTTGTAACAAAATTAAGTTTTCACTGAACTGTGCTAATTCTGCTAATTCTTGCTTGTAATATTTTCTGTATTTTGCTTTTCATTTTGTATTAGGCAAAAAGGAGAAGAAGAAAGGACAAGTAAAATACAAGGAAGGTTATGAAGAAGCCGCTGGTATCTCGACACCCTCTAAAGAAGTTGTGGAAGATACTCTACCAGACTGTGTTACGTCTGAAGTTAATCAACTGGCAGCAGTTGTGCAGCAACCTCCTCTCTCAGCCTACATTAGGTTGGCAGGAGACAAGAATTTGCAGCTGGTGAGCAGTTATCATTTTACAAATTCATATACAGGTTGAATCAAAATCATATGTTCATACTTAAAGAGGTATCAGTTTATTTTGCTCTTAAAAGCGCTTTTTTTATACTACTACTACTTTGACTTTTTCTTTTGAGAAGTTTTGCCAGGTTTGTTGCTCATTTTGCACTACCCAGGGGACACGTATGACTTAGAGAATGTCATGGACGCAAGCAATATTCATGTAATATTTCATATTATGTTCATGTAATATTTCAACATACTTCATAATATGAAATATTATTTTATTTTTGGTACTGTTGGAGGTTTAAATCTGGAGCATAAAAATCCACACAGATTTGGCAATGGATCAAATTCACCAACAAGCTGAAACCACTAAGTCCCTCTTCTTTAATTCATGTTTCTTATTGTAGGTTACAGTCCTAATGGTCGTGACATCACATAGTCCAGTAGGTAGTTAATGATGTTTCATAGGAAATGCTGTCTCCATTTTCGGCATAGAAGTGAAGTAGGAGGCAGCAAGCTCCACTGGAGCAGTAACCACCCTGCAGACTACACAGTGGCGTAATCCAGGAAAACACATTATAAATTGTCTCTACTGTGAGAATCCAAGATCTCATACATATTAAGGTTTGAGATTCATGTGGCAGAACCTGTGAAGAATACCGTATACTGGTATATGACACTGTGTATTCTGGTAGAAGTTTACTGACATTTTGGAGGAGCATGTTACATTTTTCTTCAGAGTGAGAGAGTAAGCTGAGCAAGGAAGCAGATTGCATACGTGCATAGGTTAGTGTCTCACTCTGAAGATGAAGGCAGTGTATTCCTTCAAAATGTTGGTGAACATCTACCTCACTATGTGGTGTCACATCTCAGAAGAATGAACGAATGCTCATACATGTGTCTGACTGACCATTACTGCAAGCATATATTTATGCTCTCTAGTAGTAAGGTGGCTGGCTGTTCAGCTACCTTTTCTGGGTACGTTAAAACATACATTATGCACTTTACAAATTTTGTTTCCTAAAGGTTTATGCTTTTGTTTTGCAGATGTATGAGACGAGACTTCTACCTCATGAAAGTGATCAAATTGTAGTTTCCATCGTACTGAAAAATCAGAGTTCTTCTGTTATTAAGGAGCTGGTTTTCAGCATGTGTGATACTCCAGCTGTGAGACTGCTTAGAGCTGTATGTTCTTTTATATCTTTTCCATAGGAGTATATAAGGCAGGTTCAGTGGTAAACGTGTGATGGGAATATAGTGACTGCTACACAATTGTCTGAATGTCAGAGTGCAGTTTCATTTAATATGCTAGAGTTGTATGATGGTGGTGTGACTTGTCTGAGTTGGAACTCTTGGTTCCCCACCAGGGTCCATATCTGGACAGAGTAACCCACCATTCATTTGATTGCCTGTTTAATATGGAGGCCCATTATATGGATGTGTTTTTAAACACTAACCCTTTGACCTTATGCAGGCAGTTCTTCACAAGTGGATAGCTCTCTCCATACCAGAATAAAGAAAGTGGGACATGGTTTTTAGAAATACAAGGTCTTGGAGCTTTATATTCGTAGCAGTACTTATTTTCAGAATATAATTTTCCACATTAAATTGATACACTTACCGTTGAATGCTGTGTGGTAAAGGGGTATGCCTACAGGCTTTGCAGTATGATTCCTTGATGGACATTAGATAGTAATTCCACTGTTTTCAACTAATGCATGATCTGCATAGAAAATGTGATGGAAGTTAAGTATGGTGTGGCAACACAGTATTGGCATTTGCACGTATGTGTCCCACTGTGCTTTTTCATGAAGAACATGGAGACAGAAATTCCCCTTGATAAAATTGTGACTGAAGCATGATTTTTGCAAAAGCTGCAATTAAAACTGCATGTGATTTTCTGAAACAGTATATGCATTTGCACCTATGTATTCTGTATAGTTTGTTGATGGACATGTAGATGAGAAAGTCCCTTGATAACATTTTGACCAATGATACCTGTAGTGGAGAAAGTGGTTAAAGTTCCCTGTGCATTGTTGCCATAATGAATTTTACTGTAGTCACTTTTTTGTGTGGAAATTACATGGCAGTCAAAATTTTATCACTGATATATTCTTATCTGAAATTTATTTTCCAGAAGTAGGGATGTGTAAACAATGTCGAGGCATAAATTATACAAGTAAATATGGTGGTCATTTTGTACTGGAAATGTAATGAACCATTATGAAATTTGATTTCCCTTGCAAATGGATTGTTATGATATTAATGGAAGCACTTAATGACTTCAAACATTCCACATCCTTCTTTTAAAGTAATCATGTGTACAATAGTAGAAATACAGAACACAATTATTATTTGCATATTGATGGAGATTTGCGTTTTGTAAATTAGACTGACATCCTTGATGCCCATGTTTAATGTGTTAGAAGTTTTTCCAGTTGTCATTCCTCTTAGTTCTGTTTTTTACTGCAGAGTGCCAATTTTATGCTTTTAGAACAGAGATGATCAGTTTGGAATTAAGATGCACTTCCAGCTCCCAGCAAGGTGTAATAGTGAAGCTCAGCTTGCCTTCCATGTGACAGATGTGACATTCCCACATAAAGTGAGGGGCACTGTCACTTATATGGTCCAGGTAAGGCCAAGGAATTACGGAGAAAAATACTCTGTTTATCTGATTAGAAGGTGAGGATTCGCTCTTTGAAATACTTAAGGCATTCTTTAATTTGTAGTAATATATTTCACCATCCTCTTGCATTAATATACCACATACATTCACTTCACGTTAAAGGCAACTTTATTTACAGTTACTCCTTTACATAAAAATAAAAGTTAAAAATTAACCATTATAAATTGACACATGTTTTGGCTGTACTTGGCCATCTTCAGGCAACTGTCTAACTTTTCAAATTGCTACACTGTTTTTGCAATCTCAAAAAAGGTAAAACTAAAGCTATCTCTATAGTGGGCCTTGGAGACCTATTGTGTTGTGAGATGTTGAGACTCCCACATTTCTAGACAGCCAGCTCACAGATGGTGGTGAGGTTGTCAGCCTTATGCTCTGGCTGCCCCTCACTCCCAGGAAGATTCCTGATACTCATTTCTGTTAGAGGCTGAGTCAAACCCAGGGCCGTGTATGTATGTATGTATGTATGTGTTATTTGTGCGAGAAGATATATACCAATGGGGCACATAATAACTAACACTATGCCAACATCCATACTAGCTACACAAATAGCACACAAAACATTGATGCCACAGAAGGAAAGCAGAGCATGAAAATATCANCCGGACGATGGGTGAAGTCCAAAATCGGCCAAAAGAAGTACATCATGACTGATGTTTGCCAACAAATGTCTTTTAATAAGTGGATGGCAAAAAATGGAAAACATTGAAATATTTTAACTTAAGAAATGATACACTGAAAATACAATGTAGCAATCTGACAAGCTAGACAGTTGCTTGAAGATGGCTGAGTATGACCAAAACATGCAGAAGTTTCTAATGGTTAATTTTTATGTAAAGGAGTAATTGTAAGTAAAGTCACATTTAAGATGGAAGTGAATGTATATCAGTGATCCTTTGATTTGCTTTCTGTCTCTTCAGTATATATTGTAATCGTATTAACAGAAGAGACACTGCTGCTATAAGTAAGTGTGATCGCACTAAATTAAGCTTTTGTTCACACTCTTAGTAAGTCTTGTTTTACATGTGTCATCAAACAGGCTTGTAACTAGAAAACTTATTTGTTTCTGCCAAGTAAAGTAGACACATGGAAATGAGCATCTGTCTTTGTTCATTCTTAAGGTATGTGGTTGAACTAGAATTGTAGAATTCATTGCAGTCCAGGAAAGCCATAGTAACTGGACCAAATTTTAGAACATTGAGAATTCTCTTATCATATCTTCCTATATAGAGCTTATAGATTCATTTTTCTTGAAAAAATTAAGGCTGTATAGCATGATTTGAAACTGAGGGGCAGCAGAACATTATACGTAGTAGAGTTATTAAGTTCGTGGAATGTGGTTTTATCGCATCATATTACAAGGTATTCACATTCACTTACGCAGATCCACACCAGCCCTCAAAATAGTTGCCATTGGCCGCTGTGCAAGTCTGCCAACGATATAGATGTTGAAAACATTGCTTAAATATATTGGCAGTAAATTCCCGTATGACGCTTTGTGGCCATTCCATGAACTTATTGACTGTGGAAGTATATGTATGTATTTTTTCAGATTGCTGATGGGTCATCAACTCACGAGAAACTTGACTTCTGGTTAAATCTACCATGTTCAACTTTTATGATTGGTAGACTGTCACATCGTGATACTGTGACTGATTTGCTCTCTAGTGGTCAACTCACAAAACGGAGATCCATGCTCCTTGATGATGTTCAAGAAGAATTCTCACAGGTTTGTCCTGCTGTCTGTTAATCCAGTAATACAGGGTTAGTATAAAAGAAATAGACACTTTCAACGTTTTATAGAAACCAAAGTATTATTGATATAGCCAAAATACTTAATGGTTTTTTGTTATATGTCTTTAAGTTTGTATGACTGAGTTACAAATGTTCTATGTATGAGCCTTTTGTCACATGACAGATATCAATACAATAATCCAATTCGTTCGAAACATACCAGAGCGTGTCCTTCTCAGCACTCACAACAGCTGTTGTGATGCATAGCTTTAGATGGTTTGCTCTTACAGGAAGTGGAGGAACAAAAACTCTTTGTCTTTGATATATCCCCACAAGAAAAAATTACAGGGCATTAGATCCAGACTTCTTGGTGGCCAACGTGTTAATGCCATGTTCTGGTCTGTTGAGCGGTGTTTGGAATGAATTGGATTTTCGTATTGATATTTGTCTTGTTACAAAAGGCTTGCACGTAGAACATTTGTAACTTTGTTGTTGTTGTTGTTGTTGTTGTTGTTGTTGTTGTTGTTGCTGCTGCTGCTGCTGCTGCTGCTGCTGCTGCTAGTGGGGTGGGACTAAATCCTTGCACTGCGGCCACTTCTGGCCTATTGTACCAGCCTCAGATGATAGGTGAGGGTGATTGTGGAGCAATTGGTGGAATGAAGATTGGCAGGGGAAACTGAAGTACTCAGAGAAAACCTGCCCCAATGCCACTTCGTCCACCAGAAATCCAACTTAACCAGACCCAGGATTGAACCCGGGCCACCGCGGTGGGAAGCCAGCAGCTAACCGCTTGAGCTATGGCATGGCCTCACATTTGTAACTTAGTCATACAAACTTAAAAGACATATATTAAAAAAGAATTGGGTATTTTGGCTAGAGCAATACTAATAGTAGTTAAAAGACTGGGATGTCTGAGGGGTGCTACAAAGACTTGAAACTTGCCAGCAGAGAACCAGCTGGTTTATGATACCAGAGAATGCAAAAATATTTCAAGTGTTACAAGCAGGAGTGATTTTATAATGCAGAACTACTATGTGAAGAAGTGGGAAACTATTTTTACTGTACACATCATAATTACAAGAAAAAATAATTGTACGAGGGTCGATCAATAAGTACCCGTGTTTGAAGACAGGTGGCGTTGCTGAGGGAAGTTGGCTTTACCGTCGTATACTGCCATCTGTCAAACGACCCCATACTAAATTTCAGACTGATTCATAGGTTAGTTTTTATTTGGCAGCCAGTTGCATCAGACGTGTTTTGTCTTTCTTGATACAATGGAGAAAGTGCAATATCGATCCGTAATTCGCTTTTTATTTTTGGATGGAAAAACATGCGAAGAAATAAAAGCGAAGTTGGATGCCGTCTATGGGGACCCTTCACCATCTATGACAACCGTGAGATATTGGTTCAACGAATTTAAACGTGGTCGTACATCTGTTTTT